CAAGCTGCGGTAGATTGGGTTTACTAGAGTAGATTACAGTATCGTCTGCGTACATGTGTACAGTTGAGGATTTGCAGACGTTAGGCAGATCATTTATAAATAATGTGAATGGCAGGGGGCAGAGTATGGAGCCTTGGGGAACACCACAAGTGACAGAAAGAGGGAGGGAAATGCTATAAGAAATGGCCACATATTGCAATCGGTCTGAAACATACAATCGAAACCAGCTTAGCGGACGATCACCAATGCCTGAGTTTTTAAAGGACCACTATAGGCACCCAGGCCACTTCAGCTTAATGAAGTGGTCTGGGTGCCTGGGCCAGCTAGGGTTAACCCCCTTTTTTTTTTTTTTTTTATAAACATAGCAGTTTCAGAGAAACTGCTATGTTTACACTGAGGGTTAATCCAGCCTCTAGAGCCTCTAGTGGCTGTCTCATTGACAGCCACTAGAGGCGCTTGCATGCTTCTCACTATGAAAATCACAGTGAGAAGATGCCAGCGTCCATAGGAAAGCATTGTAAATGCTTTCCTATGAACTGGCTGAATGCGCGTGCGGTTCCTGCCACGCATGCGCATTCAGCCGATGACGTTGCTAGGAAGGAGGAGAGGAGGAGAAAAGCTCCCCGCCCGGCGCTGGAGAAAGGTAAGATTTTAACCCCTTCCTCTCTCCAGAGCCCGGCGGGAGCGGGACACTGAGGGTGGGGGCACCCTCAGGGCACTATAGTGCCAGGAAAACAAGTATGTTTTCCTGGCACTATAGTGGTCCTTTAAGTTTTTGCAAAAGAAAGCCATGGTTTACTGTGTCAAAGGCCTTGGCGAAATCAAGAAAAATAGCTTCAGTTAAGTCTCCTTGTTCCATGCCAGTTTGGATGTCATTGCAAACTTTTAAGTGGGCAGTCAAAGTTGAGTGGTTTATATATACACATTATATTTATAGGAAAAGCTAAAATTCTAACACAGACCCAGTATGAGTGAGATCACACTCACAGCTTAAGTTAACCCACTAATATATTATAAGATTTAACAGCATGAAAAGTAAAATTACTAAGCAGATTGCCAATGCATTTCACCTAAAGAAAAACGTGCCATTTATCTGAAACATGGGATTTGTGATTATACACACTGGAATATATTTTCTATAATGTGGTCTGTACCACTTCAGTTATGACGGGATTGTGAGGGTTTGAGAAGTTATATCTTTCATTTTAGTTTTTCATTTAAGGCGGGAAGATATTTTTGTATGCTTGAAGTCTCTGATTTAATAAACACAGCTTTACATTTAATATGGAGCCATCACTTCTCAAGATTTTGGTATGTTCACTGGTTCCCTACATTTAACGAATATGTTTTGATGAGGTCTGAAAACAAAAGTGAAATGTGGAAAACTACACTACTCCTATATCCTGCCACTAGGCGCCTCTATCTTGGCTGCCTGTCAGTGATTGCTATAAATGTGTTTCCATTTGATCATGGTTAGCTGCAGATCTGAGATCAGACGAGGTTCTGCCAGTCAGGAGCCTCTCATTTTGTTTTTTGGGTCTGAGTTTTTCCAATAAATCTTTATATAATTTAGTTTCCAGCCACCGTTAAGCTCGTCATATTGCAACTACTGTGCAATTTATTGACACAATTTTACAAACAAGTTGGCGCATAATGTTTTCTTATGGGCCAAACACACACACCTGCACTATCATAGCACAGGTTCGGTTCTAGAAACTGTGGTGGAAAGTGAGCGATGTCCCCGGTGTAACATGCAATGTCAATGTGCACAATTTGGACAGAAAAAGAAAAGTCCACATTCCATGTTTAGTATCAATCACTGAATGAGCATTCTTAAAAAGTAACTGTGCGCATGGAGCCAGGTACAGAGGACCCATTGTAACTAGTTATCATGGTTTCTCAGAGTGAACCCTAAGATTGCAATCCTGATTTGCTAGATTGGACGGGTGCTACGGGTTAAAGATTTCTCTTTGCCAAGAGTCCAAGTCAGATGCTTGCTGTCTAGATCACTCTCAGAACAAGGCTTTTTCACATCTGTTTCACCAAGGTCATATGATAGACAAAGATTATGCACGAATTTGCTATGTGCCAAAAAGGCTGCAGTACATCTGTGACTTAATGAGGCAGCCTCGCCTATTTTATTTCTTTTATTAACCCTGTCATCCATTGAAATAAATCGGAATAATATTGTAAGGGGAATTCTAAGCTACATAGCCACTACAATCTACTTGTCTAAAGTCTATGGGTGTGATTTATCAGGTTAAAGTGTGAAATGCAGCCAAAAAACATTTTCCGTTTTCATATCGATAAACAGAATATACAGATTGCAAGTACCATGACCACTTCAAATCACTGAAGTGGTCATGGTCCCTGAAATAAACCCTTTAATTCCACACTGTTTAACATACATTTTGGCTTTTCACAAAACCCAGAGACTGTCCTCTCTTTGCCCACCTTATCAATGACAATTTCAGTCAAGCAGGATGGCGTATCTGAACCAATCCACCCAATCACCGCCATGCAGGCTGGATGAAATTGGCATTGATAAGTCTGGAATACTAACTATGCATGAGCAATGCGGCTGACAAACTCACTACAGAATATCCTTTTAAAGCTGAACGTCAATCCCTGCATGAAAGTACTATGTAACTGTAGGATACTCCGTCTAAGCCTGTTCTGTGTCATGACAACAACTTACTTTACTTAATAGATGGATTATATCACCTTCCTTAAAGGAAAGTTCGTCGTCATTTACTCCCTCGTAGGAATACATTGCTCTGCAAGTCTCTTTGGCTAGAAAAAAAAAAGAAGAAATGCAACATTATTACGATATATAGTGTTAGTAATTTCCTCACTAGATTGTATCAGTTTAAGGATCAGCACTCGGAAATAGAAACAGTTTGACCATATCAGATAAAAAAAAAAAAGACTAGAACTTAATAGTTATAGATGTTAAATAAAAAGCAGTGATGGGATTTTACTTTAATTAAGAATCTAAGTTGCACTTGAAATTTAATACCATCAAATAACATCGCTTCTAGCATCAATTTGTAAAAAAATTAAAAATAAATGTAAAACTATTTTTGGACTATTTAACCAATCAGCAGTACTTGGGATTAGTAAAATTGTGCTCCCTCAAAAATGAAATGACTGCATCTATGTACAGTTGAATGTTTGGTAATTGTATGTTTTAACTTGGAAAAATACTATCTTCTGATTGGCTGATGGCTTTATAATCCCCCTCCAGTCTTTAGGTCAGTAACTAAAGATCTAAGAATTGCAAAGTAATTACAGGATAAAAACCAAAAAAAAGGAAAATAAAAATTTTTTAATTCAACTATAAAAGTTTTTTTTAAAAGGTCAGAGGTTTATAATACCTGCGATTTGTAAACAATCTGCAGCGATACTTCCCCAGCAGGGCTGCCAATCTGCCATCCCAGAATACCTTATGTATTTTCTACAGGGTAATTTTTTTTATATATACAGATTTTACAATTCTTTAACAAAAACATTCTGCCGACAGTATCTGTAGAAGTTATAATTGACTAATTAACTTGTACCTTTATTCTTGCCGTCTGTTTCTGTTCTTGTAAACTCTGAACTTAGAGTGTGAGATAATTTTGTACCAGAAGGATTGGTGGGTAATGGCTGAAAGACAAACATAAAACAACAGTAAACACTTTAAACAGATATGAACACACTCACTAGAGAATTATATGGAAAGGTAATCTTTAACCAGTTTGATTTAAATGGCATTTAAATCCTCTTTAACCAGTTTTTAACTTCTCTTATTATAAAATTATAGATGCAGCCTTATGGTCCTATTTAAATAGCACTGGTTTGTATTTAACCAGTTTCTATTTAAAGGGTAAAATGTGTAATATTTTACCAGTTCTATTTAGAATGACATGGCTTTGTCCTCTTTAAACAGTTTTGCATTAACAGCGTAGATGAATACTGTTTAATGGGTACATGTCATGCTCTCTCAAGTGACGCCAAGTCATTTTAGACATAACATTTTCATCTGCACATTGTTACGGCCAAACCGTTGGCCAATATATAAATGAAGTTCTAGGTGCTTTGTTCTTTTTTTTTGTTTTCTTTATGATGATATTCCTGGAATTTGCCTTCAGCTTTAAAGACTGCACTTAATGAAGTGGTCTGGGTGCCAGTTCCATCTAGGGTTAACTCTGCCTGCTGTAAACATAGCAGTTTCAGAGAAACTGCTATGCTTACAATAGGGTTAATCCAGCCTCTAGTGGCGGTCTCTCTGATTTTCACAGTAAGAAGACGCCAGCGTCCATAGGAAAGCATTGAGAATGCTTTCCTATGGACGGACTGAATGCACGCGCGGCTCTTGCCGTGCATGCGCATTTGGCGGACGAGGGAGGAGAGTCCCCAGTGCCGAGAAAGGTAAGCCTTTAACCCCTTCCTCCCCCAAAAGCCCAGCGGGAGGGGCGTGACCTATTAACACTATAGTGTGAGGAAAACGAGTTTGTTTTCCCGGCACTATAGCGGTCCTTTAAGGATGGAGAGCCTCACCCCAAAATGATGCGATTGTATCCCACAATTCCCACAGTGCACCTGTTAGATGCAGTTTGCATTATGTTGGGGTACAACAGATAAATGGGCAGCAGCTCCATCAAGTCCCAGGGATCATGTTTTGAGTGGAACAAGTCACAAATAAGTGTGACTTGTTCACCAGTTGCTGGTGATTTCACAAGCATTGTATATAAACACAATCGTATATATACACACGAATGTGACCCTGCCATCTATGTGATTTGTAAAAGGCATAGATTTTGTTCCATTTAACAAGAACAAAGTAAACGGCAGGGTGGAGCATCACGTACAATGCATGAACAGTGCTAATGTCATCTGCCACGATTATACAAGTGAAACACTGAAAATAATTAAAATGCACAAGCCAGTTTCATTTTCTAAATATATTGAAGCACGTGTATTTAGTTATAAAAATAGACTGAGATATAATTCTCCCATCACTTGGTAATTTCCCTGTCTATTGCAAAGAATTTGGGCGAGCGCATTTTGCACAGAAAACAACCTGTCAGAATGGAACGTAGGCAGTGGAAACATTAGAACTTTTAAACATGACACCCCGAGTACGAGTAGCATTTTTGATGCTAGGAGCTCCTTTGCACTTACCTCCCTAAATTCTCTTTTACATAAAGCTGTAGCCATTTTCAAAAGCTGTAGTAACTATACCATCATCCCAGAACAAGCTATATTTCTACACTCTGTAAACATAGGGAACTATAGTGTAAGGAAAACAGATTTGCAATCCTTACACTATAAAATCCCTTTCATTTACAAGTACTGGGCTACATGTATGTTTGTCAGGGCTTTGTGCTCGGTTTATACATAACGCTCTTCTTTCTAAAATTACTAGTGCAAAGTTTCAAAAAAATATTAGTCTGATTATATGGTCATTGTGCTTTAAAGGAACACTCACTGTCCAAATTCGAAAAAAAAAAAAATTGTAAATCTTTATTTAGTAGATATGCCCCCAATGAATACATACATGCATTCATTCATTGGTGGCATATTTTAAAACAGTTTGCAAAAGCTGCAGTTCTTATGATTGCATCCTTTCCAAGCCCTCCCCTTTTTCTCTGGAAAAGAATTTCCCTTAATGCACGTGTTACACAGCATTCTGATTAGACGTATGCAGGGTGGGAGGCAAGCATGCTTAAGTAGAGGGCGCCTGAGACTTTCGCTAGCTCAGGGAAGCTAACAGAAGTAGTAAGAAATCTTCCTGGCTGCTTGATTGACAGCCAGGGGGTTGTTTCATTATTTATAAAAGTGCTGATTTCTAACAGAAATAGAAATAGCAAGCTGAAGCACTTTATGGATGTGACCTGGCCCTTTAAACCACCCTGAGAGCATTAAATTCTTGCTAACGTGTGATCTGCAAAGCCGTGGGAATTTCCCAATAACGATAGGTAGATTTTTTGTGGTTTTGTTTCTTCAAACACAATCGGAATGTATGACAAGATCTACACACTGGTTTCAGGATCTCATGTGGGGTTAAAAATAGCAAACGGACTAGTTTCAGTTAAGGAAGCATTCCAGCTCTCTCCCTTGAAAATGCAAAAAAACAAAGTGTTGCTGCAACATACAGTTAAAAAAATAATAATATATTCTCTATCTATATATAGCTACGGTTCTAAAGCCAGCACTCGATGACTTGTCAAATAGAGGTAAAGTTGATCCAAAGATTAATACAAGTTACAATCCGATGGTCAACGTTTCAGTTCATACATTAGAACTTTCTTCAGGCCTGATTCAGGAAGAACTGACACTTCTATGCAAACGCTCATTCTCTAATTCTTGAAGTTGATGAGTTTATAAGATTCAACATGCCCGAACTGGATGTGAAATTATGGGAAACACACATACAAAATAATGGCCACCATTTGCTAACCTCTATTAACAGGACAAGTAATTTTGTTCATATTTTTGTATGAACAGAATATGGCAAAAAAACACTCTCTCATACAGTAATGACAAGGAAATGGTGCAAAGAGACCGTTTACCTATTTATTGACTTACTTTTTCAAGCTTTTTTATCTCCGGTTCTGAATTTGGTATCCTGGTCTTTAGCTTCACAGACCCTTCTTTAAAAATGTCTCCGAATCCAACGCCCATGATTTTCTTTGGCTGTGCCACAGGCGAAAGAGCTGCTTCCAGCCCGTTCCCAGGGGGTTGTACAGGTGAGGCAGGAGAGGCATTGACAGCAACAGGTTCCACTAAGAGGAATAAGAAAACAAATGTTAACCATTGTATGTACAAAGAGCTATGAATACAGGATACTAGCATTCATTTGTTTCCTTTACCAGGTTTAACCCTTCTGTCAGGCTTTACTCATTGCGTAATTAGTCATTATACAAATTAGGCTTCCCTTCTCTCCTTTAACATTATATCGGGTGGCCAAAAAAAAAAATAGAAAATCTATAATGAGCACAAAATATGGCACTGGAGTATGGTAGGGTGCTCTGGGTTCCACTACTGAACCCCACTCACCACTGAGGGAGCACCCCTTTCCCTCTAGGTTGTATTCAGTGTGAGGTAGGCAATAATGAAATAAGCTAGGGAGTCTGGAAGCCTGCTAGCACTTATATGAAAGGAGGAGAAGGACGGTCTTTCTGCTGATCTTTACAGAGTGAGGAAATACTCTTTTACACCTGATCCACGAATAAACATTACGAAATATGTACGGAATCATAGCATTACCCCCTACTACTTCACTAGGGAAATTAGCAAAAATAAAAATTTTAAGTTACTGAACTTGCCTATATATTATCCTATAACATCCTTTGTTATTTTATGATATAATAGTAATTGTAAGCAGAATAAACCTAAAGGAAACATAAGTCTGAAGAATATATATATCAATCAAAATGGGAAAAAATCTCATCACTATTTTCCAGCCTTTGACTGTTCTGGGCTGCCCATATGTACAGTTTGACTTGCATGCCCAGTGATTTGAATAACTTTATGGATGTGAGAAAAAAAATTAAAAAAATTAGCAAGAGCAAACCAATGCGTAAAATAAAATCCAATGCATAAAGTGAAAGGTTGTAAGAATTGTATTTTCCTGGCAATGTCCCTTTAAACAAATGAACAGCATTTCAGTTTGATTTTCCCCTTCCGTCGTCCGTGTTTTATGTGAATGCCATTGACAATTTAAAGTTAATCAGTAATGTGAAATTTAATTATCCACTGGCAGTATCTGCTGTGCATTTTCTGTATGTGAGGTGAGGCTCCTGCTTTCGATGAGCAAATATTTGCCCAATGCTACACAGCACAGCGATCAGCTTGTTGCATATTCTAGTAACATTACATATGGGTGTCTTGACTGAGTATAAGAAACAGATGGTATCAATAATTCACATGGATTTCTTTGTCTGAGAATTCTGGAATTCTCCACGCTCCGCATGGAGGCACTGAACGTTCCCAGTAGAGATACATTAATTTAATGCAACTCTATTTAGGAGATGCTGATTGGCGAGATGTGCAATTGCCTCCCAATGCGAAGGTATTGGATTGGCTGAGATCATCAAGTTTGACAGAGGTGGAGCCAGCCACAGCGAGATTTGCATGGCCAGGGAGAAAAGGTGAGTAAAAACAATGTTTCAACATGATGCTAGGCGGGCTAGATACCTAAAAAACAGGTTTAATACTATAGTGGCAGAAATCCATGTTTGTGTTCCTGGCAAAAATCCATGTTTGTGTTCTTTAACATCTCCTGTTAAACATCCATCATCCTGTAACATACTTTGTTATTTTATTATATATTAGTAATTTTAAGCAGAATACACAAAGAAAACGTAAGTCTGATGTTTACTGCTATTTCTGATACACAGAAGAATTAAAATTAAGTATATTAGCACCACAGCGAGCCATCCAACAAGAAGAGGAGAAATATATATTAACATTATTTTATTTTTTTTCAATATACAAATGACTGCATTTAATTTACATAAAGCCCCAAGGGAAGGTCATCTAAAAAAATAAAAATTCTAGAACATTCACCCTTTTATATCACAGCTTTCTCACGGGGCATGGGACACAGCATTTTACCCTGTTCCAAAAAAATGTTGGGCAATGTATTTGTTATGGTATGCCGACACGGACTGGTGGTGGACCTGTAAATTACCCTTACTGTTCTATTGGTAGCAATCAAGTGACTTACAAATGATGTTTTTAGGTGAGCGTCAAGCTGGCACAGTATTTTGAAGAAAGACAATAAGGATGTGGAGGTGGATTTGGAGAGTAGGTATGAGTAGTATATAGGAGGTTGAAACAATACAGTGCTATGGAATTTGTTGGCGCTCTATGAATAATAATAAATACATAAACAATATCTCTTCACACTCAGACAATGAACATTAATATGAACATCTCATTCTCCGAGTGGTTGACCCGTTCAGTAACTTGCTGCTGTGAAATGGAAGGCCATCACAATTCCAGGTTACCTAGAGAGACTTCATAAATATGAAAGTGTAATAGGAAATAATTTTTGGGGTTTATTGGAGTTAATGTCTTTCAGACGTCACTGCATAGATTCATCATTTGATTTTTTTGTACAATGATTTTGAAGACAATTACCTGGATCTTCAGGAAGTTCCACACTGTCTCCATCATCAACCGTATCTACCTCCTTCACAAAGTTTGATGGAAATAATCCAGATTTCCCACCATGGCTTCCACTCCACCAACCTTCTTCTACCTTAAAAAAAAAAAAAAAAAAATCCTAATCTTAGAACCCAAATTGCAAGCACAACATCTCGGCCAAAAGCAAGCAAACACGAAGGAGATTAATGTTCGAGGGGATTCCGTAAAAGGAGATTTAAAATAAAAAAAGAAAAAGAAAAAGAACAAAACAATAGCAGCCATGCTTCCATGTCAAAACAAAGACCAAAAGATTTTTTTTTTTTGGACTGCTCAGAACAACTAAACCCAAAATCAGAAATAAATGACTCCAACAGAAAAACAACATCCAGTAGAAGCCAGAAGTTGCGGCCCCGCCATTAATTGATATAGCTAATTTACACGGCCCTTTTTCAATGTAACAATCTAAAAGTATACAAATATAATCTTACATATATGATAAGGTAAATATGTAAACAGACACACAAATACATATAGTGAATGTAAGACTGATCTTTTACAACAGGGACACATCTCCCAGTACTACCTTAAAACACGCATTATATATACTCATGTTAATCCAACTAAACTGGCTGCAGTGAGCATATTAATAAATATATTTATACAGTTATCGAGTTTCAGAAACAGAGCCCTGAGGCCAGTAATTAGTCAACAAACCCTGGCGACAGGAAAGAAATTGTTTTAACAGCTCTGCAAATATTTGATGTGCCAGCATGTGTATCTGTACATCTGTCATGTCTATTTGCCCCTTACCTTAAGGATGCAGTGAGCAATGTGAAACACCAGAAGGAAGTGACAATTACATAAAGGATTATGTTGACAAATTATTACCTCCGCTGAAATATTATTTATATGCCCATAGCGCAACTATGGTGGAGGAAAATTTCAGTGGAGTTAATAAAACAGTTGGAAGCTAATATGTATCAAGAGGAAATCACAGTAAAGGGGTTAACCCTGGTTTGGACATGTAGCTTAGTGATTTTTCTTTAGACCCTTAATTTAGGAATAACTTTTTATAATCAAGGATTGTGTATATATTACTGAACAGTGAACACTATTGAATATAGAGACTTTTTCTCCATACACTCTAAATAATAGTTTAGGCGATATTTACCTAATTGTTACTAATTTTTCTCTGCTTGGGATACAAATCAGATTTTGCTCCTCATTTGTTACAATAACCTAGATCATGGGTCGTCACCAGTGGGCATTTTGGGACTCCAGGTGGGCGGTAGCAGAATCCTCCCTCCATCCAGAGAGATGAACGCTCTGTTCATCTCTCGCGCACTAAGTGTGTGCCTGAATGCGCATGTGCGCCCATATCAGTGGCGGAACCAGAAGCTAATCTCGGGAGGGGCACTGGCAGATCATTTTAAGAAACAATCCAGGCACAATAACCACTACAGCTCTCTGTAGTGGTTTTGGTGCCAGGAGTTGCTGTGGCGCCCTCCCAGAGTAAGTAGTCAAACCGTTTAAAAAAACATTTGATAACTTACCCAGGGTCTGCCGGGATAGGGCTGTAGTGTGTATGTGTGTGAGGGTTTCAGTATGTGTATGTATGGGGTAGCAATTTATATATTGGGAGCAGTGTGTGTGTAAAGGGTGCAGTGTGTGTATTGGGAGCAGTGTGCTTGTGTGTATTGGGAGCAGTGTGTGTATGTGTGAGTGGTGCTATGTATATAAGGGGCAGTGTTTGTATTGGGGTGTGTAAGGGGGGGGACAGTGTGTGTTGTGTGTAAGGGGACAGTGTGGTGTGTGGGGGGACAGTGTGTGGGGGACAGTGTGTGTAAGGGGGACAGTGTGTGTAAGGGGGACAGTGTGTGTAAGGGGGGTGGTGTGTGTAAGGGGGGCTGGTGTGTGTTAGGGGGCTGGTGTGTGTTAGGGGGCTGTGTGTGTTAGGGGGCTGTGTGTTGGGGGGCTGTGTGTGTTAGGGGCTAGGGGGCTGTGTGTGTGTTAGGGGCTGTGTGTGTGTTATTGTGTGTGTTGGGGGCTGTGTGTGTGTTAGGGGGCTGTGTGTGTGTGTTAGGGGCTGTGTGTGTTAGGGGGCTGTGTGTGTAAGGGGCTGTGTGTGTGTGTGTAAGGGGCTGTGTGTGTGTGTGTGTGTGTGGGGCTGTGTGTGTGTGTAAGGGGGCTGTGTGTGTGTGTAAGTGTGTGTGTGTGTGTAAGGGGCTGTGTGTGTGTGTGTGTAAGAAGGGCTGTGTGTGTAAGAAGGGCTGTGTGTGTAAGAAGGGCTGTGTGTGTAAGAAGGGGGCTGTGTGTGTGTAAGAAGGGGCTGTGTGTGTAAGAAGGGGCTGTGTGTGTAAGAGGGGGCTGTGTGTGTAAGAGGGGGCTATGTGTGTAAGAGGGGGCTATGTGTGTAAGAGGGGGCTATGGGTGTAAGAAGGAGCTATGTGTGTAAATGGGGGCTATGTGTGTAAGGGAGGCTGTGTAAGAGGGGGCTATGTGTGTAAGGGGGGCTGTATATTTGTGTGTGGTGTGTGTAAGGGGGGGGGGGCAGATTAAAGATAAAAAAAATAAAAATTATTAAATAATTGCTAAATAAATATAGGTAATGTCCCCCCTCCTGTCTTACCTTTGCTGATGGAGGGGGAGACATTCCTTTCTTTTCATCAAGATAGATGCATTAGTTGGCAGTAGGTAGAAAAGGGTTGACTACCCCTGACCTAGATACTATGTTGTCCTTTTTACAGAGTTAACCTAGCCTGGGATACTTCAAGAGGCTGTAAGCTTATACCCAGCATATGTGCATCTTAAATACTTTGGTCTTTACATTTTATTATTTACTCGTTTATGTCACTCACGTTTCCTCACTTATATTTTCTCACTAACTTAGGTTTATTTTGTGTGTGTGTGCTTTTTAACTATTGATTACTATTTAAAGTTACGTTTTATGATCCAATTTCAGCACAGGACAGTACTTCTCCTCTCGTCAGAATTTCAGTGGAGTTTGACCTGATAAAAGAACCTCTCGCATAACATTTGTTTCCCAGATACCAATTACAATTCTCTTTACGGTTATTTATACCTGACCAAGTTCAAGCATGTTTACCACTAGAAAATGAGGGGGAGGAGAGGACACCACCACCAAGGCAATTGCTCCCCCTGAGACTGCAGCATCCATTTTATTTTGTTACTGTAGCAGAACCGAGCAGTCAGGTTTGGTGAAGGCTGTTTGTTTATAGAGAAAGGAGATCTGATGATAAGTTACATCACCCCGCACACAGCACGAACGCAAAAACATTAAACCAGCAAGTTCCATAAAGAAAAATGTACTAACAGGTTTTTTTTCGGTATTTTGCTTCTTTTTAAACTGATGCCAGATACCAAAGCAGGAATCCAGTATGATAATGTAGGATTCATTTATTTTTAAACAAGAATACAGTTTATTAAGTACCTCGATACTAAAGAAAGGCTGACATGCAATGATAAGGGGCTGGAAACCCCACAAGTTGTAGTAACTGATAAGCATGTAGATAACATGACAATGGCACTCTGTCTACTTTGGACTGCAGTTCCCATCATACTCTCTAAAGGGACACTATAGGCACCCCGACCATTTCATCACATTGAAGTGGTCTGGGTGCAGTGTCCCTGTCCCCTTGGCCTTTCAATTTTAAAGACAGCCACTGGAGGCACTACCTGCATTTACACAGAATTTAACTCCTTGAAATGATGATGGATGTCTTCAAGCTTTGCATGAGGATGCCCAGCATCTTCAAATACCCAATAGGAAAGCATTGATTCAATTCTTTCTTACAGGAAAGACCTAATGTGCGCCCTTAACACACCAGGGAGGGGGTAGAGGCCGTGACAAAAATGATTTCTCACTGAGGGACACTATAGTGTTAGAAATACACTTTTGTATTCCTAAAACTACACTGTTCATTTAACCTACAAATGTGCTTGGTGTATGATAAGGGTTACAAAGAGGATCCACTGTCACCCTAAATAACAGTATTTACAAGTATAATACAGCCACCTACCTCTTCGATAATGTCCAGTATCTCTCCCGCCTTAAGCTCCAGTTCATCTTCGTTTTGTGGTAGGTAATCAAAAAGGACTTTACATTGTCTCTTTTTTGACTCTATGAAAAATTTAAAAAATAGTCATATATATTCAAAGACTGTATAAAGAAACTCTGCTTGTAACATAAAACATCAAATGACCATTGAATCACAGCTCTGTTTGTTGTTCCAGCTGACTAAATCCACTGAGATTGGCCCTGGCTTGCACGTCAGTTAAAGAGAACTTGTCCTGCGAAAGAGAACCCCTCGATATTTTCAATATATTGTGCTACCCAGACTGATGGCAATTGTATCATCCAATAAGCCTTGCTCAACAACTTTGAAAAATGAGCTAAAAATCCTAAATGGGTTAGTCCAAGCACCATAATCATTTCAATGATTTAAAGTGGCCGTGGTACTTTGAGCAGGTCTGTGCAGAGGTACAGTAAGAATATATACAGAGTTAAAGCGCTTTGCTGCCTTAGGTGTAACCAAACCTAAAGCAGAGTTATCAGCCAGCAAAGAACTAGAGTTAATTCTGTGCATATTTGGCATCTGTCGTCAAGGTGCATAGCATGGTCAAACAACTAGGGGTGAAATTCCCCTACCCTCTGTGCAACCCAGGTCCATTCTACAGTCTATCCTCCCTTACATTCGTCCCTACACAGTAACGTCATCAGAGCAGAATTTAACTGCAGACAGAACTTTGCCTCGGCACTAGATCAAAATAGTTTATGATTAATTCTCTTTTTTTTGGTCTTTGTATAAGACAAGCATACCAGTACACTAAACACTAATTTTGGGTTGGAGTAGCCCTTTAATGTATGCCATGGAGTTATGGCATGTACATGATGAGTTTAGACAATCAGCTAAACGCTAAAAAAGTTAAAGATGAAATTACATTAAACCCTTACAGACACTTGAGACCAGATTATATGTTTTTATTCTCACATCGGCTGACGAAATACATAAACTGCATACATTTCCTATGTTTTCACCATTTATTTATTAATTTTTGTATTGTGGCGTTATCAATGAAGTTACTTTCGAAAAACCCTCACGGATTTCAAAAACACAGAATCCGACGCATTCTACTGAGGGAAATACCCTGAAACCCAACGGGAGGGGGGATGATATTTGCCTTTGCTCAAATTAAAGCAGCTTTGTCACTGCAGGTTTTGCTTTTAATCATATTTGTTTTCTACTGGCTTTTATTTTTTATTAAATTTAGAGTTGTTTTTTTTTTTTTAAATAAGATCATATAGAGACTACTTTTTCTAATTGGGAGTGTGATCTTTATAAACTTTTGCAATGGGCGAAGCTTAAGCAAGGTTCAATTTAAGGCATCGTGGGCAGAAGAGAACAAAATTGAGGCACCCGGGTATTGAAGGCCGGCACAAGAAAAAGAAAAGATAATACATATATAAAGGCAAATGTCAGAGAGGGCCGTATAATGATTAAGATACAGGAGTGGGGAAAGGGAAGGAAAAAACAAACAACAAAGAAACAAAACACATGACTACTTTAACAACAAAAAGACAGGGTGGGGAGAAGGGTTGTACAATCCATTAGAAACCTAGGAGGAATTGCAAGCTTTTCATAATCCTCGTGGAAGTGGGACACAAAGGACAGAGATAGACTGTGCCTTTAAGTTGCAGTACCCCACTCAGCATTAATTAAAATACCGTTTTGGTCTGTGAGTTACTTTCATCTTGTGGATTTTTCAATACACTTATTTGGCCTATTTATAATATTGAATAAAATACTGGCTAGAAATTACAGAGAAATTTCTAAATTCTACTGATGAAAATAAAAAGAAGGTTCCCGTACACATACTTTTTTTCAAAGGTTTGGCTTGAGGAGGTGGTCCCATTCCTGGAATACCATAAACACTCATGCGCTGGACCAGACTGGCTACATTTCCTGGCTTCTCCCGTTTGGTCGCTATATGTTCATCCTTTGGTTCAGCATCCTTCTTTATTTCCTTGTAAAAAGAAAAAGAAAACGGAGTTTAACACGATTATACTCGTAATCAGGAACAATTGCATTATGAGACCACAAAAAAACCCAGAGGTCCCACCTCTGAAATATGCTGCATTCACAATTTATTTGGGTTGGCCAACAGATAAAGTCAAATGCTTTTCACCCTGTGTTTTTACTTTGAGTCCCATTAATTCCCTTCAAAGCCCATCATCAGCTTCACATTTCAAACAAACCTAGTATAGTACTGGATCAGTATTGATTATATTCTGCTAATAACAGACGAAAAATTATTTACATTTGACTAATTTGAAAATTGCCAGGAATCGCTCAGGATATTTTAAATGTTGGGTAATAATATCCCCCGCTAATAGGCCACCTCGGGGGAATCAGATTGTGCTAAATTGTATTTGGTGGGTTTTTATTCTAATTTACCTGGGGGACCAAGGCACCCCCATTTATAAATCGTCTTGGTGGTGGCAGCGTTAAAATAGTAATATTATTATAATTAAGTGTGGATGGTGTTAAGTGGGATTTCTATCATTATTTATGGTCTAGTTCAGACAAATAGTGAACTATAGCCCTTTCACCACCAGAACGAAGTCACGCACACTCTTGGAGTAGGGTGCGTTCGTGACAGGTAGTCTAAAACACCATTACCACTTCAACTCCATGCAATGGTTATGGTATTAGTATACAATAGGGGCTAGGTCTTGGTTCAGTTTTACACTGTTTGAGAAGCTTGACTAAAGCTGGGGGCCCCCAGAAGCCACTTCCTGGCATGCCAAATTGCAAGTCCGTAAATTATACTTCTGTATTACCAATGTCAAATTCCCCAATATATGCCCAGCACTGAAAGGCTATACAGATCAGCTGACACTCTGTACAGGCTGTAGAGTTGATTATATTCCTTTAAAACCATACGATTTTACTATATTTAGGGGGGCAAGTGGGGGCTAGATTGGGTTTTTAACACGTTTTTGTTCTTAGACTACAACTTTTCTTAGACTACAACTTTTTGAAAGCCTCTCTCACTTTCTGTTTATGTGCATATTTTGCAAAGACCCTCACAAGGTGGTCTAAATATTTGCGTGGTAGAGTCCCTTTAAAGTGGCCCTTAAAAGTATTCTGCTCATGAGCCAATCCCAAAGCAGCCTCACTCTGCTCGGAAGTACTAAGCACGCAAACACCTGGCGTGTGGTGAAGTCATAACAAGTGATAAGGTCGTGATAAGTAAAACACTGATGACCACAAAGCATATTTTGCCTTCGCTGTCAAGTTTGCAAGGCTTGCAACACCTGCAGAAAGTACAACCTCCTGTAAGCAAGATCAACTGCTCAAATGATGAACATATTAATACAAGATAAATAAACAGACATGTTGGAAATTAAAATGCTATTCACTGGGCATTGCTAGGATATGCACGCATTTAACATAACTGCTAATCTACAAGGCAAGTCTAATGGACAAAGCTAAAATAAATCAAAAGAAAGACTACAAAAACAAAGAGCTTACGGCAAATATTTTCATTTCCTCGCAGCTGTAACTAATGACAGCATCGGGGAAAGAGAAGTCTTCATACATTGCACAGTAAGGTCTATGGAGCAACCTGTCTTGAGTCAGAGTTTAACAGCGAGGCAGTCTACTGACAAATTAAAGACTAGGAGGTGAATAATGCATCAAACATGAAATGGGCAGGTCACCTTGAGAGGGTCTTTGCAAAATATGCACAAAAACGGAAAGTGAGAGAGGCTTTCAAAAAGTTGTAGTCTAAGAAAATCCAGGGACTTTTGCACTCTTAGAATTAAAAGAACAAAAACGTGTTAAAAACCCAATCTAGCCCCCTCGGCCCCCACTTGCCCCCTTAAATATAGTAAAATCGTATTTTTATTAAAGTCTGCTGCTGCTGGCTCTGCCCCTGATCTGCTTGCTTGGCTGACATTATCACGAGTGATTCTCTGATTCAATCACAATGCTTTCCCACAGGATTGGCTGAGACTGTCAAGAAGGCACATCAGGGGCAGAGCCATCACAAACCAAACACAGCCCTGGCCAATCAGCATCTCCTCATAGGGATTAATTGAATCAATGTATCTCTATGGGGAAAGTTCAGTGTCTCAATGCAGAGGTTGGAGACACTGGATAGCAGTGCTGCACACTGTGCAACACTGCCCCAAGGAGCACCCCTAGCAGCCATCTGAGTTGGTGTCCCAGTGCATACTGGGGGCATGTAAGAGTTAGCAGTTAGATACTTTTTGGGAGGGGGGAAAAAAAAACGATGGTTTGATTTAAAAAATTTTTTAAATAATTTATGTAATTCTCAAAGTATTAATACAGATCAACTTTCCATTATAAACTAAGGGTGCAATCATCTAAAAATATGAACTTCTGTAAATCAGAAAACACTATCACAATAAACCATCCCAGCACATATTTCTAAATCCTATACAAATACTATATGTAAATATAAAACAATGTTTAACAGTCAGTTGGCTTAATGAAATATGTTTTACTGCAGGAATAAAATTTAACTGCCCTATAATATTAAACAATTAAATCATTAGATCATCACTTATGGCATCGTTAATGGGCATAATTAAGGTTAAGCTTAACCTGCTAAAACACACCCAACACATTATTTAATCAAGGGTTCCAAAGATCATTTCATCATCTTAAATTAAAACAATGGGATTTATAACCTCACCGGACGTGGATACTGTACATAGCTATAATTATATAATTGTAGCGTTTGGAACTAAGAATTCTGCGCCAGTAGGTGGGAGCTTAGTTAGGGGGACAAATAGGAAGAAATAGAAAACAAAATGTTTGAGCAACACATCTAACAAGTTACTAAGGGATGCTGGAGATGCATCTGACCGTACAAAGTGATGTTATAAAATACACTTTGCCTTACTTGGATATGTATCTTTAACACAGTAATATAAATCCATTGCAGCATATATCATTAAATCAGTATTTGCTCTATGACAATTTAAAGTTACTCCAAAGTTACCCATAGCCTGCTTCCATGTAACATAACCGTGCCAGTAGGTAGTAAATAGTGTTTCAATATGGAGCTTGGACTTTATTATACCTGACAGGCATTGTTGTCTGTGTGTTTGGGGGAAAAAGAAAGAAAAATACTAAAAATGCAATAACAGTGTCTTTGTATTTAAAGAATGATCCTTTTATTACAAGTTTGTAACAAGAAATAAGCACCCACGCTGCAACATGAGGAAGGGGTACGGATAGCGTCACTCTCAGCAACCCTAAATGTTTGAAACTCCTATTTAAAGCAACTGTATCTTAGTAATTTTCATATTACATTATTCCAAATTCTGACAACATGCATTATTTTTGTTTGTTTTTCATTTCAATGTGTTCTGTCAAAAAAATGACGACATTTTGCCAAAATACTAATTGGCTGCAAATGCTGAAATTAAGGCTTGTGCACAGATCCTTTTCACCTGTGGCGAGCAAATCAAATCCCTATTAAACTACGCCCGAACGGATCGATTTGCTCAGACGTAGATTAAAAGGAATTTGATTCATTCACTGCAGGTGAAAAGGATTTGTGACAAAGTCTACTGAAATCCTCTTCCTTTGATCACTAATTAAATATTGTGAAATAATCAAGTCAGGCAGTAAAGGCAGCCAGGAAGGCACATCAAGAAAAATAACAGTCCCTATGTTTAAAAAACATCCGACTATCATCTGCTCTGATAAGGGATCACTGTCAATATATAAAAACATGGTCAGGACCAGTTCGGCTGCCAGAGAGAAAATATTCTTAACACAGTGCGGTTTCATTCCTTTTCATAGTCCATCACGTATACAACTCATGCAGTTTGCGAGCAATACAATAGAGTAATGTAATGGTACGAATAGGATCAGAGTTTTATTTATTCTAAATAAATTCCGATCCGAACGAAACTCCCGAATTGCGTCCTAACAAGAATGGACAAACTTCTCATTCGGTTAGGTCGAAATTCAGTAGTTCCACCGGCGTTCGAACCCCGAATGAAGCAGCAGGAGGAAAGGTGAGAATTGTGGGAAATTTGCTTTGACCACAGGAAATGGAGCGGACTTTGCCGCTCCCCTGGGTCAAAGCTGGTGAAGCGTAGGAAAAATACACAAGACAAAATAATCCCTACTTTGTCTTATGTTTTAAGGAAAACTAGAGCAGACAGGAAGAAATGAAGAACAGATCCTGAGAGAGGGAGAGAAGAAGAAGCGATTGAGGAAAGGTAAGTTCGGCATGAAAGTGCCGCTTTAAGGCTTACTGACAGCAGTAAAGATTATCACGAGTGATCAATTGACATATTTTATTATTTTTTTTCTTTTTGTGATTTACTTTTGGCTTGTTAGATTTAAGATTTTTTGTATTTTATTTTTTTTTAAAAACAGTTTTATTAAAGGTTATGGGTTTTCTTTTGTCCAGGATCCTGGACAATCCTCCTGCTTTTATTTTAAGTACACAGCAGCAATGCTTTACATTGTAGGGACAAAACTACAGGGCATGGCACCTAAAACACTTTGTTGAGATGAAGTGGTCTGGGTGCCTACATTGTCCCTTTAAGTTTAAAGTTTGCTTGCCACTACTGTGTGTAGACTTTAAGTTTGGCATTTTAAGTTACGTTGTTGACTTGGCATGATATTTAACAGAGAAAACAATTATTAACATTCAATATAAATAGAACAGTTCAGTTTACATCAAAATGAAGAAAAAAACGAAAAAAAAACACACAAACAAAACAAAGATGCAAGTAGCAAAACAGTCTAGAATAAACTGTAAAAACAAAGCCGTACCCATCCTGTTCACTGGTAGATTCGATCTAGGGGAATTCCAGTGATTTCATATGTTCCTTGTTATTACAAAAGAAATGCAAAGGTTTTGTCCTTTACTAAATACTTAATGGAAATGGCTTCCTCTGCCCTAGCTGGCATGAATGTTTACAGCCTCTTTAATTATGTTGTAAAGATAGATTCTAGCACCAACCACACCGTGTACTGAATTTTAGCACAGAGCAAGCAGAGGCAATTCAATCGTGTCTTATTTAAGAGTGCCAGTGCACAGAGAACAATGACATAACCAGGACTGACTGGGGAAGCTGCAAATTTAGAAATTCTGATTTAATGGCTATTGTTATTTTATTTAGGTGTGCAATGTTAATTAATTGCTTCTGTGCCTGATTATTATGTCTGTTGCCAGCAAAGGTGTAAAACATGCACAGAATTGACATTTACCAAACAAGTGGCAAGCAGATACCACCATGACCACTTCAAATCACTGACGAAGAAATTAATAACAGATTCTGAAAGAGAAGAGGAAACAACTGAAGAAAGGTAAGTTTGGGGTGACAGAGCCACTTTAATTAAGCCTGCTGCTGATTTCCTTTGAGGGCTTGTCCATCTCCACCAGTGACAGCAATGCTTCACAATATCCAAGCCAGTCACAGGACTTGGCACATAAATGGCCTGTCCAGTGAAATAGGAATACCGTGGTCAGAAATTTTCAAATCATTTCAAAAGTTTATTTTCAAAGTGACTTTCAAATTTAAGTAGCCCAAACTGTAAGCAAGTTACAGAATGTTTCCGGCTTGGCTGTTTTTACATTTTCACTTTGAATTCTCACTTTCGTGAATAGCCATGTAAGTGTTAAAATGACAAACTCAAAGTATTGCAACCGGCAAGGTAACCTCCAGGATTTAATAATAATTAGTAAATATCAAAAGGAGTTTATGTTTTTCAGTAGATTGAACATTGCCCGTAAAATAGCATGGAATTTAAAAAAAAGCTTAGAAATTGTAATAAGAATACTTTCGCTTCTAGCAGAAAGCAATATGCAAATGGTTATTAAATGCAAACAAACCGGTTAGAAATTACAGGTGTTATGAGAAAGTACTTTCACAGTGATTACAATATTTCAACTCCTATAACTCAATTCAAGTTCTGACTCATCAACAGAAACTAAAGTAATATTTATAAGCAAGAAATAAGCCAAGAGCACCTGGGATATAACTGGATTGGGGATATAAACAGAATTGATAGCTAAAAGCGCATTGTGGTGCTTTTAGAAAAATAGAAAAAAAAATTTATTTCAAAGAGTTATGAAACCAGTGACAAAATACATTTGATGTGATAATAGCGATAACTCAGGAAAAAAAGAGTGGGTACATCAAGGGGCTAAAACGTATTCACAAAGAACAACTAAATACATTTTTAAAAGGCAGTGGGATGATCAATAAAAATAGCACATTATCGCACATAAAAAATTTGAGATATTTTCTTTAACAGTTTGTGTTTAAAGTCTTTATTCATGTCTTTGGGGAATTAAAAGGCAATTTCACATTTTAGACCACAATAGTAAAATTGTATTGATAGGCAATTTTATTCCCACCGTGGCATTCTATGGGCCAATGTTTGAAATGTACTTTGAATTCCTTACAAATCGCACTTCAGTGAATCAACCTACTGGCATGTGCTTAGACTGGTGTCCTAATGCAGTTGTAAAACAGTATCAACTGTTTTACAACTAAACACTGAAGAGAGATGCTGAATGAAAGGGCCTTTCGGCTACCTCTGTTCTAAATTCTACTCTGGTAAGACCGTACTGAGAATGTGTGTAGGAAGTACATCTGAGGATAGATTGCTTGAGCAAAAATAGCTACATAGCCCTTTCATTTACTATGATCTCTCCCACCTTTTGTTTTGATACTTTATTTCAGATTCCAAGCACTCACAGAAGCAGGGCTTGCTCTGTTTATACAAAAATATCAGAATCTATAAATATATTATGTTAATTATTACTGTGTATTATACACATTCTAAATATAAACAGACAACCTAATGCAACTCATTCCCTCTGTACTGCTTGAGATAATGACAAAGTATTAGTCTGAGCAGTGATAGGCAGCAGTGATAGTCTATCAGCGGGCACACACAGCCAACACAGTTGGGTATTGCTGGTATAAATTTATATGGATTGGGAAGTGTGAAATCTCTGAATTAGTTAGACCTCAAGAGCCAGGCGGTGACCAGGGACCTTCATTTAGTTTAAAACTGCTCGAAAATGGTTAAAGGGACACTGTAGGCACCAAGACCACTTCAGCTCATTGAAGTGGTCTTGGTGCCAACTCCCATCACCCTTAACACTAGAGTGGTAATTATTGTTGTTTTTATAAACTGTTATAATTACCTGCTTGAGTTAACTCCTCCTCTAGTTGCAGTCTACCAGACAGCCACTAGAGCAGTGTTTCCCAACCCAGTCCTCAAGGCACACCTACCAGTCCAGGATTTAGGGATTACCCAGTTGTGTCTAAGGTGTTTTTTTTCTTCTTTGTAAAAACATCTTAGACACAACTGGGTAATCCCTAAATCCTGGACTGGTAGGTGTACCTTGAGGACTGGGTTGGGAAACACTGCACTAGAGGGACTTCCGGATTCTTAGACTACTTTTGGTCATCCAAACATCACTAGACGTCCTCACGCTATTCATGAAGACCTTCACTGTCGCCGGAATCCCAACATGAAAGCAGTGAACAATGCTTTTCTATGGGGAGAACCTAATGGGACCGCTGTCATTGCCATGCATGCGCATTAGGTCTCCCCTTCCAGCAAATGTCGGAGGGAAAGGAGCGTGGAGGGAGCTGAGCCAGCGCCGATGGAAAGCGGGGCGGGGGCCTTGACAGAGGCTGAAGCTATAGTGCCAGGAAAACAAGTTTGTGTTCCCGAGCACTATAGTTTCCCTTTAACATTATAATGTAGGGATAGTGCCAGGGGACTCAATGCAATTATTTTTTATTGAATCTTACCTTTACAAATAAAAACATCAAAAAGACAAGCTGTGCCCTTGACAATTCCTATAAAGCTGCAGTGTTTTCCGCTGCAGGGTTAAAGAGACGGTACACTAAACCTTGACAACTTCAATGAGATGAAGTGACCTGGGTGCTTGTAGGGTCCCTTTAAATGAAATAAGGAGAACGTTATTGCATTAGAGAATAAATAGGGCACTTCACTCATCAGCAAGATTCTGCTATTACAATAGGAAATGGCAGATAAACAGGTCTTCACCATTCATCGTCAGCTCAAAAACAATTAGGACATGGCAGCATAGGACTAGCAAAGCACATGGCAATTATGTCGTTGTGGACTTTCCTCCTCAGCCAGAAATAAGAGGGAGCAACAGAGGATTTTGTTTTATATTCTATTAAAGTATTGATTAAAAATAAATAAAATTAAAAAAAGAATTTCTGGGGGCGGGGCAAGACCGCCAAGCTGGATGGTCGCAAGATAGACTAGCTCCTGCAAAAAGCTAAACCATTATGCCATAAAAACACGATTTTGTCCCTTCTGCTGACCAGCAACAGCGGCCCTCGACGGGCAGAGTGCACTGGATCCAGGGTGAGGCTGGCTCAACGAGTATTAGTCCCCTGGAGGAGAAATCTTCACTACCAAAGTTGGGGCCTACTCCGGCGGTGAGTGGAGTAGACGGCCGCTGCCCCGCTATCCCGCCTAACAGTGCCCAGCCGAGGGCTCAGACCCCCGAGTAATAGGCCCTGCCAGGGGGGTGATCCCTGTCCTCACTCTGGTGCCCCAACCACTACTACACGACCAAGGCCTAGCAACACTGCCAAACCGACCCGCAATCCAGGAGCTAAACCTAAGATGGCGGAAGCCGCGCAAAAACAGCACCAAGAACAGAGTGCAAGAAAGTGGTCCCCCCACATCAGCTGCAACCAACGTGGATCAGAAACACCAGCAAATCTGACACCCACGAGATCGGCGGCACGCACACATTCTGGCACCCTAATGGGTCACTTACCCCTGGAGCCTCATCACCAGCTCTCGGCTCCGTTAAGGAGATGGGCCAGCAATCGGCGACGGAGAAAGAGGCACAGCAAGCCAGCGCTTGCCCAACAGCAGGGACCACCAGCTTTTACCCAGCGACATGCCGCTCTCCATCCATCGAACCGGATACCGCATACCACTCCCGGACTGTCGTGCAGCACTGCCAACTAACCCGGCGAGAGTGGCAACACAAACAGACCGCTGGACAGCAGGGGGAACGTGCAGAGCCCACATAGGGCACAAGCTAAACAGAGACACAAGGGGACTCTCTGAAAAAGACTCTCCTAATCTTGTCTTGGTGTAAACATGGCAATATCGAAATTTCACCTGTCACAATGCACCAGCCTTACTAACTTTACTCAGGCGTAGCTATAGGGGTCTAAAGGGTGATATATTACCTCTCATATCTAAAGCAAGTATCCAGCAAATGGTAAAAAGAGTGTAATACCTGAATGTAACCTTATCCTGTTCCTGTTATACCAAAAAATGTGCACTGTCTAGCAACTACCCTACTTGTTATCTATGCCAAGCAGCTCGAGGAATGCCGTTGGGGTACCTAGAGCCATTTGTAAACACTATATGCACTGCAAATAAATTTAAAAAAAAAATTTCTTTGTTACTTCTTCTGATTCTAGTAATTCCTGGATAAACCCTTGCTTAGCTGTATCTTTCCATCTAACAAGCTTGAGAAACTTAAAGCAAGGTAGAGGTAGCTTTTAATCTGCTCCATTTTTTTTTTTAAACCAAACTTTAAAAATATCCCTACCTGAAATGTACTTGGCCAAGATTGAACCATTCTAAATGGCTGCTGGCATTACTGTACCAACACTTATTCATTTTATCCATAATGGCCTTGAATGGGTTAAAATGTATGAAGCCAGATTCAAGATGGCCAACCGTGTAAATCAAAATTGCTTATAAGAAGTGCAACTGGAAAAATGTCTGTCTTTAATGACCAATTGCTGTTAAGTAAATATTGAATGCTTTATTTTAAAAGACGGAATGTAAATACAAATATTCAAAGGCTGAAACGTGAAAGGAACGCCCACTTCTTTCCTAGATGACACTCACTCCTTTAGCCAGTTGTACGTGTTCTGCAACGTATTGCAATGTTCTGTACCAGGACTGAGTTGTACTGCTCTCACTCTGGATCTCATTATGCTGGGTGATATGCTAATTAAGCTGGCAGAACTATAGACGTAATAAAGTAACAAGTAATAGATTGACATTCTATAGTGTCAAATATTGTAAAGGGCGTTTCTTGAAATGACAACTTAAATGAACACTATAGAGTCAGGGACACAAATTTATTCCTGACCCTATAGTGTTAAAAACACTATCTAGCTCTCCTGCCCCTCTCCCGCCCCCCACCCTCTCTCTCCCTAAATATAGTAAAATCTTACATTTATTCCAGTCTGCTGCTGGCTCTGTCCCCTGATCTCCTTGCTTGGCTGACATCAGAAGTTATGATCTGAGCAAATCACTTTGCTTTCACAAAATAAAGCATTAGACTGGCTAAGACAGTCAAGGAGGCAGATCAGAGGAAGAGCCAGCACAAGCCAAATACAGCCCTGGCCCATCAGAATCTCCTGTCACTGAATCAATGTATCTCTATGAGGAAAGCTCAGAGTCTCCATGCAGGGGGTGGAGACACTGAAAGTCAGTCTCACTGTGCAGCACTGTCCCAGGAAGCACCTCTAGCAGCCATCTGAGGAGTGGCCAGTGGAGGTATCCCTAGGCTGTAATGTAAACACTGCCTTTGCTCTGAAAAACAGTGTTTATTGCAAAAAGTTCGAAGGGAATGATTCTACTCACCAGAATACAATAAGCTGTAGTTTTGGTGACTATAGTGTCCATTTAAGGTAAACAAAGAATAAAAAAGTAAAAAGATCTGATTAATCTCGATGAAATGGAGTATTGAGAGTCTGTGCCTATTAACTTTTTTTTTTTTTTTAAATAAGTAAATGATGCACATGGGAAACTGGAGAAAATGTTATGTGCAGTAAAACATGGGCACACTGGTGATATAAGCTGGATAACCCAGAAAGTTTACTTCATAAAGAGTATTTAATGGACAGGAGGATGAGGAAAAGTCTAACAGGACAACATCCCTCAGAATGGGTGCTTCCCTCAAGATATCTTATTAGAAAGAATTAGCAGTGGGGGGAGGCAGGAGGGAGAGCACAGACAGGACAGGCGATGGTCAGGGGAAGAGTGGAATGGTCAGGAAAGAAAATGTATTAATGGGACTAGAAATGTAATTTGGTGTGAAGTTATTGAGAGCTTGGTACTGGAAGCAAGTACTGGATGTTAGTTGTATAACAATTGTATCAGTTTTATTTGTGGCACTTTCCAAAATTACCCTAGTAAGAGGGTGATAAATTCTTACAGAAAGTTAGGCCAAAATCACTGAAAAACAAAAATTCTCCAACTCTGAGATGTCAAGTTTAGCTTTGCAGGTGAAGTTTAGAATTCAATGGGATATTGTGGTCCTGAATCACGGCAGTGTACATTAAATTGCCAAATTAAATTGATGTACTGACGAGAAAAATATATGCTTGGTGAATAGTTTTGTAAAATACATTTGTCACTGTTTCAAGTCACTGCTGACAACACAGTCTATAAAATGCCCTAATTTTGGCCTCAATATTTTCATTTGTCCCTAGTGAGTGAAAATTCAGTTCTGGTGATTAGAAATTCCCACCGATGAGTGCCAGTGAACCCTCCAAGGTTACAGAGGAAAGTAACATTTAAGGCCTGGCTAGCGGAACAAGACCTTGCAGTTATTATATGGTACTTGCAGACCTTATATGGTAAACTGGGAGTAGCTGGTATGTTTACCATATATGGTAATAAGAGTGTGTCTGGATTATGTTTGTAGCCATTCCCAACGTTTTGTGAGGTCACACTGTCTTCATGATGTCATTGCCGCCAATTGGCTAAATACCCAGCTCAACTCCTTAAAGCAGTGTGTAAAAGAGCAGCAGCAACTATACAAGGGAGCCATCAGGCAATTTATATTGGACACTTTTCAGGCCCATATAGTGTTTGTCTGTTTTGTTTTAAGTGATTATATACTTATTTAGACTTACATTTGAATAATTTTTTACACTATATGAAAAGCACAATTATATACAAAGCCATTGAGCTGGGAAAGTTTTCTACTTTTATAAACCTGTAAGAGATGTGCATGGAAAGAAATTTTGTTTAGTTTGGTTTTGGTTCAGCCAAATTTAGTTCAAATATAATTTACATTTATTACTGCGGTTGCAGGGGTCGCAGCTGCAACCAGGCCTGCCACTCCAGGGGGTCCTGGCTGCCCTGCGACCGCGGTGCCCACTGCCATGTGTTGCGGCGGTAGAAGGGGCACATCGGGTGGCCCATGCTCTTAGGGCCACCCGATGGAAATTAATTTCCAGGGGGCCCAGTCAGCACTGTGGCAATTTAACGGCGCAACCGGGCCCCTGAGATGACATCACAGCTGTGAGGAAGTGACTGCCAGGTGACTCCTCCCAACTTACACCGGGTGCTGTGCGGGAGGAAGGAGTCAGAGTGGAAACTGACTCCCATCAGGCTGAACCACCAGACCCCAGGGAAGTCACCCTCCTGCACCTAAAAGGTAGGAAACAGGAGGGTGACTAAACCATTTTGTAAATGTGTGTATATATATTTGTGTATCTTCTGTCCTGTCTCCAGGGTGAAAGATAGATATCTACCCAAGCTGAGTATGCAGCATACATACAATGCATACACAAAATTGATTTCATATAGCATACAGGAGAAAGTAAAAATTATTTTGATGTGACCGTAGCAGACATGTTTATGTAAGCAGGCTGGATTTGATTTAAATCACACTGATTTGAATCAGGATTTAAATCACCAGTCAGCAAGACTTGAATAAAATCAGGATTTCTAAACTTAAAGACTCACTCTTGCTGGTCATTATAATCTGCAATTAGATGAAGATTTTATAAATTAGCTTAATAACGTTTCAAATTACTTTAACAGTTATAACAGAGCTAATTTTGTTATATACCGTTAAGAACTATGCTCACTGTTGAAATTGTATTTTAAGTGACCTATTAAAGGGATGTTACACTGCCTGAAAATATGCATGCATTTAATTTAGCATTTTTCACTGGGAGTAAAAAAAGTTTGCAAAAGCATCACTTATTTTGCCTCCCCTTCTTCCCCAGCCCAGACTTTTTGTGGCTCTCCAATCACAGACTTCTCAATGTAACTCAATGAGAGAGGTCTTTGCAAGGCAGGTGCTCTGTACAATTGCTGCCAGTTGAGTTAATCAACCAGGAAGTAACATGACTGGGTGTCTGACAGTCAGGTGGTGTAAAAAAAAGGTTGGTTTATGAAAGTACCAATTTCTATTAAATTTTTTTTGTTTTGTTTTTTAAAACAAAAGACAACACAAAGCAAAATAGTGCTTTAGGGGTCTGGAAGACTTTTCCATGCATCCACTACCCTCTCAGTAAAGTAATACTTCCTGATATTTTTATCTTGTCTGGGGTGTTTCTTTAATGTTGATCACTGCAATGTACAGACTCTTTAAGAGAATCATATGCAATAAATTCTCTATTAACATGCATTATGCAGTAATTAGAATAATCATGAAAGAAGCAGAAGCATACCAAAGAGAACGGAGGGGGGGAGGAATACCAGGACTTGGAGGTTTAAACTTTAAACAAATGCATCCTCACATGTCATCAGACATACAGACAATCAAGTCCCTGTGACTATTTTGCAGAAGTGATTGATAGGTGTCATACTTCCAGGAGGTACAAGAGCTGCTGCCAGTGTTTCAGTCCTCTTCCAAAGAATGACGTTATGCCAGGAGAGAGGAGAGAGAATTGCAAGGTCTGTTGGCACTTACTGTCAGCATAGGTAGAAAGACTGCACTAGGGACAGCAGCTGCAAATAGCGGATACTGACCAGGAGTGTAACTCCCATGAATTTCAGGCAGCCTAGAACACATATGCATTGGTGCTGCCAAAAAACTCAAAATTTTACCAAATCATAAATAATATAAAACAAACATAATACTAAAGTGTTTATTGGGAAATGAATGCAATTTTCAAGTTATCTAGGCATTCATAAAAATATCCAGAGTCAGCTTATCTTACCAGTAAATATCATATGGCAAGACACCTAGTGACATACATCCACCTGCCTCAAATCCTCATAGATTGTAAGCTTGTTTGAGCAAGGCAATCTTTACAATTAATATCTATAACCTTTTCTAGAGGTGTATAGCACTGCGGACTATCTTAGCGCTATACAAATAATAATGAATAAAATATTAAGATACCATAGGAGAGAAATTCAGCCCTGGCGAATAGAAAGTCTGTATACTGAGTGTGACTCCCTACTACTTGTGAAAATCCTCAGTGCTGCTTTACAGCATTAGCTTATTGTTACAGTGGCTGCACAGCTGGGGTGTCAGGATTTGGATAAAACTACGAGATCGGATAGCTACATGCTTTCGACAACTCGCTTAGAATTATTATGCTCCACCCATTCTTCCTTCTCTTTCACCGACCAAGCAGTCAATGTGACAGTACCTGGTTGGAGTATAATATTTTTTTTAATCTCTCTATCCTGGGAGTGCACAGGGGTTCCGTGACTACCCAGCACTGCCAGGGTTAAACAGATGTGTGTAATGCTGTCCAGTCCAATCCCAGAGGTTACTTGGAGGAATTTGTTTACCATGACAAGTAACTTTTAGACATGGCTAGAGGCATAGCACAAAGTTTGAGCCCTGGTACATTGGAGACACAGGTACACAGACAGAAAGAACTTGTTAATAATAGTATTAATTAATACTATAACAATAGACAGGCATACACATGTAGACAAATCATACGGCTATGTATACAAATATTCAGATTCTGAACTTGGCTCTTCAGTATAAAATAAAACTACGGACAATAAAACAAGCTTTGGCTATTGAAAGCAAAACCCAGAGTGCTAGCAGGTAAAACAGTTGAGAAGCCAAACCATCACAGTAACATTACAAGCTCGTGGAGGAGGTAAACCACAGTACATAGGAAGAAAAGTTGGTATCGGTCCCAACACCTAGTAGAATGCTGAGTACAATAAAACTTAATGCATTAACAGTTTCATTCTTTAATGGCACAATTAAAACTAAACAGCCAGTGAAACAACGAGCTACTCCCAATAAAAACACCACATCTGCTGGCAACCTAGATCAAACCAAAGTCGGAGTAATCCTTTCAAATCCAAGAAAATTACGTTTAAAAAATATAAATAAATAAAATGATCGTCCTACCTGAGAGAGCAATATAAAAAGTACACTTACCACGTCCAAAGACATAGTCGACTGCTGTCCACACCCAGTTAAGATTGCTTATTGCAGGAGAGAATAGAGAAAGGAAAAACTATTCATGTCAGAACAGGACCTGGCTGCTGGCCCCAGGTAGCTCCATAGCCGGCACACACAGTAAAAGCATGCAGGGTTAAAAGACACTTCCTGTATGCAGAATTTTTACTTATTTATTTATTTTTGCCTGCAATGTTTTAACCCATTTCCTTGCAAGAGCACAAAACAAGGCGATGTAATGCATCTGGGTATTTTAGGGCACAAGGAGGGGGAGGGATGGGGAGTATACACAATTACATCAGCAATATCTTAGATGTGTTTCTGCCAACCTTTAGCACGCACGTAATTGGGAAATAGTAAATAGGGTTTACAGAGAAATGTCTTCTAAACTAAACCATGCAGCTATTTGAATTCCTTGTGTTCTATTTCTCTTCACCAGTAATGTGTAAAACAGACTACATTCTTGGGAGACAATGCAAACATGACAACTAGAATTATGACAGGTAGTAAAGTCTATGCATCTATTATTTTGTTACTTACAGGTTATAAAATAATCTTTTTTTAGTTTATTTCCTGGCTTACTCCCCCTTCGTGCCATCTTTGAAGGGAAACGAATGGCAGAAATACAAAGTTTCTTCTTATAGATTTAAATACATGGACATCCTTTTAAGAGTAAAATAAATATCAGTTTTACTCAAGTTTTTAGCTGTCGCCATGTGGTCTCACCGTGACCATCACTCCGCCTCTTGCTGACATCGGTTGAAAATCATTGAGGGCCTACTGTGCATCAGGATGTATTCATAGAGATACATTATAATGATGCATCTCTATGGTTAGTGTTCAACATCATCCGAGTGACGGCCATTAAAGGCATTCTTAGGGACTAACGTAAACACTACCTTCTCAGAGAAATGCAGAAGTTCTTTTCACGAAAACCACAACATTAAGCTGTAGTGGTTGTGGTGCTTTGAGTGGTTTGGTTACAAGCGGAGGACCACGGAGATGGTTCACCAATAATGAAGATCTAGGGACAGTTATAGGTATTACAGTGACACTGTCACTTTAGACTTTTATCTCTAATGCCAACCCTCTACATTTTTTATTTTTTAATTCAGCATTTTTTTGTTTTTTTATTAAAGTTCTACTATTTCTTAATTAGTAAATAATCTTTGGCCACAGATGTGAATTAAGGTTCCTTTTCAGTTGCCAATGAAATTCACTCACAATCCATCAGTCACAAATATCCTACAAACAGGCAAACTGCAGACATCATAAACAGAGGAGAACAGAATGGCAATGCCCAGATATGGAGATCTCGTGCAAAAAAAGAAACTGCAATATAGTTATACAAAGGGTATAAGGACAGGAAAAAGAAAAATGACAGGCATCTGCACTTTTAACAAAGGATTAAAAAATGGACTCCAAGCAATGAATGCAACTTATAACCATAAGAGTCACTGTTGGTCTCTTAAAAATGTTTAAATAATGAATACATGTATTTATAACCAACTGCATCAGGCAAAGGGAAATCTAATTTCAGCTCTACGTGGTTAATTACTACCACACCGTAGGCTAAATCTTATAAAATACATGCATACAAACTGTCCTATTTATGGATTTTTCTGATTCATATACACATCTTAGTCATCTCAGATTAGTGGAAAAGTGGAAAGTTGAATCCAGCTAATTAAAGAGAGACATATAGCATATTCCAGTGGCCGCTCATGGTTTGGTGTTCAACGCTGTATGCAAGGAATTCTAGGTTGTGATGTTATCAACTGTCCACACACTCAACTGCTAGGGGGGCTTGGGAGAGATCTATACCAGCGCAAGGACAGATCTCATCCACATTTTCACTAGACCACCAAGAAAGACAATTTGTACCATCATAAATGCAGGAGCACAGGAGGTGGCCATTAATATCACTAATGTTGTGCGGGGGCAGCAAAGCAGAGATTTTAGGGACCCTCACAATATTTTACTTCAATGGCTGCTCCTCTTACCTTAACAAAATTATCTGGAAATGCTCCACGTCTCCCATGGATCTCGCCCTCAAGCCAACCTTCTTCTTCCAGCTTTTTCACATTGCGGATGATGTCACCCACTCGCATGGTTAACTCATCCTCGTGTTCAGCATCATAATCATACTCAACAATGTATTCAACTGCAAAGACACAAGAATAACAAAAGGTCTTATTGTCATATATCAGATTCCTTAGCGGTTCACTGTATTCACTAACAATTAAGGAGATTTAGGGTTGGGGTATGTTTGAAGGGTTAAGCAGCGTTTGCGGGTCCTTTGGGGTGACTGAGATTAGGAAGGCTTAGACTATTAGGTTCAACTCTACTGGTCTCTATAAGGGAAACGTAATTTTGGTGCAGTGTTTATGAACAGCTAATTTATACCTGGTGCATGGAGATATGCAATTTCAAAAGACAGCCAAAAGGAAGTGTGAATTTGGTTGGAATAACTGTATTTGCTCTTTGTGAAATGGTTAAAGGACCACTATAGTGCCAGGAAAACACTTGTTTTCCTGGCACTATAGAGCCCTGAGGGTGCCCCCACCCTCAGGGTCCCCCTCCCGCCAGGCTCTGGGGAGAGGAAAGGGTTTAAAACTTACCTTTCTCCAGCACCGGGCGGGGAGCTCTCCTCCTCCTCTCCTCCCTTTCGGCTGGCTGCGCGCGCATTCAGCCGGTCTCATAGGAAACCATTTACAATGCTTTCCTATGGACGCTTGCGTGTTCTCACTGATTTTCACAGTGAGAATCACACAAGCGCCTCTAGCGGTTGTCAATGAGACTGCCACTAGAGGATTTGAGGGCTGGATTAACCCATTTATAAACATAGCAGTTTCTCTCTCTCTGCCTCCGATCCTCCTCCGTTCCTCCCCGTCGGCTGAATGCGCACGTGCAGCAGGAGCTGCGCACGCATTCAGCCGGTCGCATAGGAAAGCATTATCAATGCTTTCCTATGGACGCTTGTGTGCTCTCACTGTGATTTTTCACAGTGAGAATCACGCAAGCGCCTCTAGCGGCTGTCAATGAGACAGCTGCTAGAGGCTTTGGGGGAAGGCTTAACCCATTCATAAACATAGAAGTTTCTTTGAAACTGCTATGTTTATAAAAAAAAAAAGGGTTAACCCTAGCTGGACCTGGCACCCAGACCACTTCATTAAGCTGAAGTGGTCTGGGTGCCTAGAGTGGTCCTTTAAGCCAATGGTTCCCAAACCATTCCTCATGGACCACCAACAATCCAGGATTTATGTATTGCATAGTTTTATTCCAACAGAGATACTGACTTGGACTTTGGCTGGGCCCCGATGCCTGGTTTGGGAACCACTGTGTTAAACAGAGTAACTAATAACGAACTCTCCCACAAAGAGGTGCGTCATTCCAGTGTGTGTGTGTGCTTGGCTGATAGGCTGCCCCTATGCCAAACAGTGTTTATGCACTTGATTATGGTTTAAAAGCCATAAAAATATTTATAAGTGCAGCTTGAACATTGATAATTGCTGGTGCTGCAAGTCCTACCAATATCAGTCCTAAAAATACACCTTTAAGAACGAAGACTTTTTCTATAAAGATACGGAACAAGGGATGTATTCCATGATCAGACCACCAGTTGAAAGATCTGTAATAGAACTCGTGGAATGTTATCCATCCTGAACATTTAGCAAAAAAAAAAAAATAGGCTACTCATATAAAAATTAACTATATAATAAATACAGGGCTCACAGTTTACACTCTCTACTAGTCATTGGAGAGTGAAAATGTAGTCTTAGCGAATAGAAATTCCCCCCTAGTAGGTATGATATGGCTTGCAGTGAGAGTCACTTTTAAGGCCTAACTAATTGCATAGGACTTTAGGTTTTAGTCCTTACGCCCAGATTGAGAGATACATACACATACACAGGGTAATTTCTTTTAAGTGTGCAAATTTATATATAGTGCTTCACTGATAACCGCACTTAATGTCATTTCTAATGTATTGAATGTGTATCGTGGAGTGCTGTTGCCTATAATACACACGTATAAAATGCTCTTTACCCTGAAAATAAACTAAAGTACCTTAACTTAAAAAAAATAAAAACTCAGATAATTTAACTTTCTGCCAAGTCCCTCTCTGTAGCCTCTTACAGGTTTAGGCCACGTCACTTCTTATACAGACACTTAAAGGAAAAATATTTTAAGCAAACAGTATTACATAAAAAAACAATTTTTTAAAATGTAAACACCATTTAGAAGCATCTGTACAGGTAGAAATGTGTTGCACAGCTTCACCTTTACACAGTTGAACAAATTATTCAAAATTCTCAAAGTATTTTTATTGATATTAAGACACACAGCATCCAGAGAGCACACAAACATTTATAGGTTTCTCAGGGGGAAAGAAAGATCGAACTCATTTGTTTATAACACATTATTTGCATGCCATCATATAATGAGGGAAGAAGAGAGGAGAATAAAAAATTAATAAACCTACCACTTATTTCTGATTTATGTTCATAGACAAAGAAATGCAGAACTGTTCATATAAAACCGTTTAAGCAGATTTCTCTTCAGCTCTTGGTACCTGTCAACAGGTATTTTACCCATTGCCTGCGGTTTTAGGTCCCCCATTGCATACGTGTATAGCTCTCTAAAAAGGCTGGCTATAAATAACAATGTAAACCTTTAAACTGACTACTCAGGAATTAAAGGACCACTATAGGCACCCAGACCACTTCAGCTTAATGAAGTGGTCTGGGTGCCAGGTCCATCTAGGTTTAACCCTTTTTTCTATAAACATAGCAGAACTTAGGGTTAATCCAGCCTCTAATGGCTGTCTCACTGACAGCCGCTTCTGCGCTTCTCACTGTGATTTTCACAGTGAGAAGACGCCAGCGTCCATAGGAAAGCATTGTCAATGCTTTCCTATGAGACTGGCTCAATGAGTGAGCCGGCTCTTGCCGCGCATGCGCATTCAGCCGAGGAGGAGAGGAGGTGGAGAGGAGGAGGAGGAGAATCCCCCGCCCGGCGCTAGAGGAGAATCCCCCGCCCGGCGCTAGTAAGTTTAACCCCTTTCACCCCATAGAGCCCAGCGGGAGGGGGACCCTGAGGGTGGGTGCACCCTCAGGGCACTATAGTGCCAGGAAAACAAGTATGTTTTCCTGGCACTATAGTGGTCATTTAAGTAAAACAAGCAGGACATTCATTCACACTGCAAAAGCAATATAGAAACACAGTATCACATTATGAATGACCATGCAAGGGCCTTGCCCATCCCCCAGTAATGTACACATAGTTATAGCATTGCAGATGCAGCGTGATGTGAGCTATGGCTCCAACTGGTACGTGAACACTGATATGTATTCAACTGATCTAAACAAAGCTTCGATAGATCGCTGTGTTCCCGCAGGCTAAACATTCACATTGCATACCTGTAAGCTTGTTATGGGCCTCAGACCCTTTCCGATCACAGAAAGCTTGATTTTAATTTATATTAAAGCTGTAAACTTTACCAGCAAGAATAGAACAATGTGCCCAGTAATAACCAATATAGGGAAATTCTACCAATAAAAATAATCCTATCCACATCACACATCCCACATACCGCTAACTGAGCACCTATTGACGAACGGAGGACAGAGAACACTCACAGTCAATCATCAACGCTCAGTGTTCAGCTATTACTTCCTCAGACTGAGAGGGACAGAGAGAATGGACTGCCATTAAACCACTTAAAACATTAACAGTGAATAGAAGGATGGCACATGGGTACTCCAGACACTATAATCACTTCACTATGCTTACAGTACCTACAGTGTCCCTTTAAGCTATCTTGGTATACAGGACTGCCATATGAACTGGTTCTCCAGCCTTGCAATTGTTGTAAATGTGCACACATCCAGTTTCTGGGTGTAATTAAATGAGGAGGTAGGGAAAAAGAAGTCATTATTGCTAATTGCCAAACATATACCAAATGACCCTCTATAACATTAACATTATGCGAACAGGCACAACCAGAAGCTGGAATAGTATGAATGAGGAACCCAAGAATGCACTGGGTCAAAGATGTATTAAGTTTCTTGAATAAAACTTGTTTTATAGTGAATGCCATTTATTTATATTTACACTATTTGCATGAGCGAAGTATCCGATTTTCTTGCAATCTGGTATGGGGGGGGGGGAGAGAGAGAGGGTTGTTTTTTGGGGGGGGTTGCTGGTTGTGTGTAATGTGAGATTGGTTAATGATACTGCCCAGCAAAAAGGCCTCCCCCCTATTCATTTAAAGCATACACACTAGAGTACCTGGGCCAGCAAAAATTCCTATTAACAGCCCAACAATCTTGCCTGCATATATGTAGAAATATGCTATTTTATATCTAATCACTAGGTGATCTGAATAATTAATCCATTATACCCCTATAGTACCAATACAATGGTGTCCTTGAATCCTAATATTTAGTGTAATTGTCCAAGGTTAGATACTGCTCATATTACATTGCACGGATTAGCTCAGCTAATGAGTCTGCATGACAGCTCCAATTTGCAGTTAAAAGATGTTCAACAGTAAAACTAATTATTGGGATGTAAAACTGGCTTTAAACAGGCCTAAGTACCGCTTATGGTAGATAAGATAGAGGGTTAGCCTCGGCAGGAAAGCTGCAAGGAAAGCTTCCCAGTTCCCATACACGTATGCTGGTCACGGCTTATTTTAGTTTTTAGAATACACCTCCCAGGATGCTCTGTCTGTCAGGGAATTATGAGTTCAGAAACATTCAAAGCTCCATCATTAGCAATCATTGTATCATGTCATTTCTGTTTCAGCAGGTTGACAAATGTATAACAGCCTTACTACACAATGAGCCTATTTACTTACAGCTTCCAGTAAATGTCCAACTTGTTTATGAAGGTGATTATATACCAAAAGCTAGTATTAAGGATATATGTATACATGTTTTTCTATCTGAACTGACAACAGGAGAGATCAGCTTAAATAAATATAGCAAGAAACATAAAAGGGTACAATCATAAAAACATGAATTAAAGGGAAACAATGGGAAACTCTCTCCCTATTTTTAAATACACCCTGTAGGAACCCAGATCTCAATGAAGGGGTCCGGGAGCCAGCTTGCTGTCATTTTAACCATGCAACTGGAAACATTGGCATTTGGCTGGAACGGCAATGTTTTCATTGCAGTGTTGACAGCTAGAGGTGCTTCTGCAGCTATAACAAAGCTAAACTCTCAATGAGAGCATTGGCGTAAAGTCGCACCTGCGCACCGAGCCTCCAAATGCTTCTTCTATGGACAGAGGGAAAAGCTATAGTGCCAGGAAAATGAGTTTGTTTTTCTGGCACTATAGTTTCCCTTTAAGCTAGAAGTGCTTTGGTGCTTAAATGTCGCTTTCGAGGGTGGGGGGAAAAACACAAAACATGGGTTAGCTGCAGGTAAAAAGAGGCTTGCGTTAAGGGTCTCTCATTGAGGTCTATGGGGTCTGTTCTTATGTGCAGCAATATTTATGGGGTAATTAGTTTATTACAGGAAAAGAGCTGACCTGTAATATGACATAACTCATACTAGTAGTCACAAGGTTTGGCTTGGGCTAGGTTCTTGTACTTTGCTCAGCCTAGTCATAAAAAGTGACAGCTTGTTTAAACTTAAGTACTGTATTATTTTACTAGTTACGCGCACACACACACACAATATAGATAGAAAAATCTCTCTTTAAACTTATTTTTAATAATTATCAGATGCGTAATTCCATAGACCATCCCACATCCACGGTCTGTGCTGCCATACCAGGTAATGCACTGGGTTTAATCCATATGTGCTGTGATTTATCTTGTTACTATCGGCAATTATGGGAATGGAAGGGGTATCCCAAGCTGGATAAACACCAGTAATTTCCCAAAGTAAGCGCACTGCTCAAAAACTAAAAAAATGCCTCCCAAATAACTAGTAATAGTTAAATGGTGGAAGTTACTCAGAATGTACACTAAGATGCTATTATTATAAGCCTAAATCAGGAAGCACCAGACAACATCTTAATCTTCAACACACATTGCCTGCATGACTGCTCTCCCACACATTTCATCCCTGGTCACTAAACTAGATCTGCAAGTTTTCATTAAAGGGACACCATAGTCACCAGAACAACTACAACCTAATGTAGCTCTGGTGTTTGGAGCCTGTCCCTGGAGGCAATTTAATGTAAACACTGCCTTTTCAGAGAAAAGCCTAGTAACACCTCCAGTCGCAGTCACTTGGACGGCCACTAGATGTGCTTCCTGGGACAGTGCTGCACAGTGGCATTCAGCATCTCCACGCTGTGCATGAAGGCGCTGAACGCTCCCCATAGAGATGCACTGATTTGCAGTGCATGTGCAACAGCCTCCTATTGCTTATCTATGGGAGAACATTGGATTGGCTGAGATCATCAAGTTTGGTGATCTCAGCCATGGCTGAGCAGGACACGGCCAGACGCAGCTAGCAAGGCCATTTTATGGTAAGGAGAGAGGTAATAGACCTAAACTTCACTTTTAAAACTATAGTGTCATAAATACATGTTTTTATTCCTGACACTAGTGTTTCTTTAAAGCGGCACGGTCATGTTCCCTTGAAAAATGAGTATTTCATAAAGATAAAATCTTTATTCTCATTTTTGACTGTGTGGGAATTACACTAAAATCCCAAGCCAGTCAAGAGATATATAGAGGCATAGCGGGACTTATAGCGGGACTTATTTGCCTCTGTAGTCTGTCTAAGCAGAGTTGAAGTGCCAATCCCGACAGCAACAGCTGCAAAGAATTGGCTGTCTATGAAGGATCCTGCAGGCTCGCCCTTAGACCTCAATACTGTACTCCTGCACTTGAGAGTACAGCAATGCCATTGGCTCAGAAGAGGACCCGCCAAATCAAGATTGTGGTGCCCACAAAGGACAGGTTCAGGTGAGTAAACTCCCCCTTTATCTGCCACCACCCCTCCCGCAACTATGTCACTGTCACAGGTCCTTGGGAATTCGCAAATTCCCCAGATGGTGACAGTGCACCTTTAAGTATTTTACAGCTCTATGGTAGCCAGCGGGTAAGCTCTCTGGCATTGCAGTGATGCTCTGCCACCAATTTTACTTTGGCAAAAGCAAACTAGAGACCCACTGAGCAACATGGGTATACTGGTTATTTCATTAATCTGCACTTCTAACCTTATACTATTTACTACTTAATGTAATTTCTCTATTCTAAATTTTTCTTTTAAATTACCCTTTTGAAAGAAGCTTACAATTTTTCCTCTCCAGGATTTTACATTATAGCAATTAAACTGTGCATTATGAAGGAAATTAATATTTTAGTGCAAAAATGTAAAACTGAGTTTTGGTTGAATTGGAGCAATCCTTGTTAATTCTCCCCAGTACATAGTTTAAACCAGGGATGCCCAAAAGGCTGATCCCTAGATGTGGTAGAACAACTTCCATGATGCTTTGCATACCTTTAGAATGAATGTAGTTTTACAACTTCTGGTGATAGACCGTTTGGGAGCTTCTGGTTTAAAACAATACACGCCAGAGGTCTCGGATTCAGTGAATTATTTTAGTTACATTGGTGTTTAATAATAGTTTATTTTTAGACTGCCAGAAATAATTGTGGGAGCTTTTGTTTAGTAGGTAGAGGGCTAATGTTTGCTTAACCCTTCCAACGAGTAAAAAAAAAACCATTAAAGTGATTTTCAAATAGACAGTCTGTTAATAAACAGTTTCTAGCAGGCAAAAGGTTTAACACCTACACAATATACTCCTTACAAAGATTTCTAATCAGGTGCAGTTCTTCTGCCATTACTGCTCAACCACACCCAACAACCACAAGTATTTTTATCCCACCTCCAGGAATTAGAAATTTCATGACCTGGAATTGCCTCAAGAAAAGGAAAAAAAAGGGAAAATAAAAAGCACCCACATCATTTTCTCTCAATGAAGAGGTCTAGGTTCCACACGCGCTCATTTTACCCATGAAATGTAAAACACTTTTGTTCTGCAAGGATAAAATGCTTCTAGTGGCTGTGCATGCACAATAGCCTCCCAAATGCTTTCCTATGGGAAATCATTGGATTGGTTGATATCAATATTGATAAACTAAGCAAAGAAGGCGGGGACAGCAGCAGAAAGAGCGAGCAGCACAGCGTGGGAGAACTGGTAAGTAAAATACTTTGTCACTCCTCACAAGGGGCTCGGCCACCTAAATGGTGAATAGTACAATATAGCATAAGGAATGCAAAATAATATTCGCATTGATATTTTGTTCCTATAGTGTCAATTTCACTAGACAGGTGTAAGCTCTAACTTCACAAACACACAGTTCTATTTCTAAGGTTATAATGTATTTCCATAAACTCTGTTTAGAACATTCCAAACAGACTAATTATACAGGCATAGGCAACCTTCGGCACTGCAGATGTTTTGGACTACACCTCCCATGATGCTTTGCCAGCATTATGGGTGTAAGAGCATCTGGAGTGCTAAAGGTTGCCTACCCCTGGACTAATACATACACTCAGTAACCAAGCAAGGGGGGCATTTGTGAGGAAAGTCAAGAAGAATCTATGAGAAAAAGACACTTCTTATAGTATATATATATATATATTCTTCTTGTGGATTGGTTCCCTATGATGCCAATATATATATAGATCATAATTCTATGTGTCAGTTATAATTATCAGTATGCATCAGATTTACCTTTTCTGTAGGTTTATTCTGCTTACAGTTACTAATAAATAATAAAATAAAGGATTTTGCCGTACGATTGATATTCAGCAGTAATTACTGGACTCAGGAAAGGAGAGATAGAATCTTTGAAGTCAGAGAACAGACCATATCCCATGGTCCCTTGTCCACTATTCTTAACCGTAAACATATGATAGTAATTATAAATTATGTACTGATCTCAGTGGCTGAGAAAATGGGTACCAGTAGACACTTTCAAGAGTTCTGCAATAAAGAGCAATGATAGCTGTAAGTCTGGGCTAACGCCCCGAATGAGAGCAGCCTACAAATGCTGTCCAAGATTGAAACTTCAAGACTCTGAGTACCATATCCAATAAAATTAGTCATATTGCTACGGTTATGGCAGTTATATTGGGCCCCTGTAATTGTTTAAACTTTTTGGGGTGTTTTTTTCTTTTTAAGTTTATTACATTCAATAAAAAATAAAAAATAAATTGTTAGGATTCTCTAGACACCAGGAGGAGTGAGGAGGTCAAACAGTTTAACTACTAACAGCAGTCTTGAATTTAATTTACCGTCCGTCCGTTCTAAATCAAGAAGTTTCAAACTGAGGCAGGGGAGGGTGGGGCGATGATAGGCTGATCAGTAGCTTCCCATTCACAAAATGGAATGAGAAAAATGTGTACTTTTCTCATTTTGGGGGGTGCTCCTGCAACTCCCAGTCTGAGGTTTCCTGATTCAAGCTCAGACTGCAACAGAAGTAGTTGGGCAAAGCTAACTAATCCGGATTCAAGACTTTGGTGCTAATCAGTTCGTTAATGGTTAAATGTCTTGAGGTACACCAGCACCCAGGGACTCCCTTGCATGATAACAACTTCATACTAACGAAGCTGCTAGAAGGTCCAGTGTCTCTTAAACCTTAATTCAGCTATGTTTGGCCATATTCTACTGTAATCTGACCAACTGCTTTTCACCCTAACTTACCTGCTACTGTAGGTTCACACAGAGCACACAAAGCAATCTCAGCAGCAGGCAAGTTAGGTTGAGCAACAGCTGGTCCATAACAGTAGAAGCTGTACACATGACAATTGTTTCAGTAAATGTAATGATTTTTTTTTTAAACTAAAAGTAAAAATTTGATGACACTTGTCCATTAATTTAATTTCATGGTACGTCTTCCACCCACTTAAAAGTGCCAAGAGGCCCCTTACCTAACAGGGTTAATCCGTTCTTGAAAGGTTTAACCCCTAAGTTGCCCCCAGTGCTGGTCTCCACTCCTCCCCTGGCGACTTACAGCTTCTGAGATTCAGGAAGCACGAAGTCAGCTGACACTCTCAGCCAAATCAGAGACTCACCATTCACAAAACTTCCTTTTAAAAAAGGTCCCCCGGAAGCTGCCAGGGGAGTAGTGGAGACCAGTGCTAGAGGCAACTTATGGGTTAAACTGTTAGTGAACCCCTTGAGGTAAGAGTGCTTCCAGGGCCTCCTGGCACCATAACAACTTAATTTAGATTAAAGGACCACTCTAGGCACCCAGACCACTTCAGCTTAATGAAGTGGTCTGGGTGCCAGGTCCAGCTAGGGTTAACCCATTTTTTTTTTTTATAAACATAGCAGTTTCTTTGAAACTGCTATGTTTATGAATGGGTTAAGCCTTCCCCCAAAGCCTCTAGCGGCTGTCTCATTGACAGCCGCTAGAGGCGCTTGCATGATTCAGCACGCAAGCGTCCATAGGAAAGCATTGATAATGCTTTCCTATGCGACCGGCTGAATGCGCGCAGCTCTTGCCGCGCGTGCGCATTCAGCCGACGGGGAGGAACAGAGGTGGATCGGAGGCAGAGAGCTCCCCGCCCAGCGCTGGAAAAAGGTAAGTTTCACCCCTTTTCCCCTTTCCAGAGCCGGGCGGGAGGGGGTCCCTGAGGGTGGGGGCACCCTCAGGGCACTATAGTGCCAGGAAAACGAGTGTTTTCCTGGCACTATAGTGGTCCTTTAACTAGTTTTAGGTGCCTGGGGTGTCACTTAATATTCTCCAGCTGCAAACTGTACCAATTTACAAGCATGGCATATTGAGTTCTTTACAAATAATCTTAAGAATCACCGGCTTCTCATTTGCATCAATTACCTTACAAAAGGAGTATGTGTTTGTGTGTGTGTAAAGCCTTATCAGAGATGCACAGTAAATATAATTAACATTTAACTTGCTCCTTCCAAAGTCTAAGGTTTATGTCAGTAGAGAATTTCAAAGGTTTTAAATGAAGGATTTAACACAACTCTCTCTGGTTCATGTCATTAAACAAGCCCCACTAAAACTATTCACGCAAACTACAAAATATTTTATAACATAAGGATTGTTCTGTCTAAATATACAGTAGGCTTCCCAAATACATGTCTTTCAGACTCCTGCACCCAAAATAAATAAATGTTAACCTAGTCAGAAACTAAAAAATAAGATAATATAGATATCCGGTATTAAGCAAACTAAAAAAAGGAAAATCAATTGAAAACAAATTTAGAAGATAAGGAAACTGTGAATATTTAACTGAAAATTTCTCCAATTCCTTTTTTTCTTTGAAGAATAAGAAAAAAACAAAACAAACCTCACTTTTTTTCAAAATGTTCTAAAATATCTTAAGAACACAAACAGTAGGTAAGAAATACTGTACAGAGCATTAACACCAAAAGGGGGGAAAAAAAGTTAAAACATTCTCAGCAAAGGCTCTCCAACAAAACCTGTCTTTATCTAAAATCAGAGTAGCCATTACTGACCATGATGACACATATTGCTATAAAACTGCTAATGTTGTATGTGTATCTACATACACACACCGGTGAATATCCCTTATGTCACAGGGTGCCTCGGGTCCAATCACAGGCTTCTCAGAGAGTCCTGTTATTGGTCCATTTCACCAGCTCAGAGCACATGCGTGCGATTTGAGCAGATTAGTGGAGGGTGGGAAGGAGATTATTAAGTCTGTACAGTATGCATTTCGTGACAAAAACATACGTAAAAAATGCACAAAATTTACATTGAGCAGCACGTCACAGAGTTCTGGCCTGCCTAAGTCACGTATACTGGGGATGCAACTAGCCTCCGGCACATCCAGGCTCCTACCACTATGATGCTCACTTTGACTGTGTTGTAATTTAACTGAAATTCCAAAGGAGTCAAAAGATCCTAAAAGATGATGTCGGGACTACTTTGTTGTATACATTTTTTCCAAGCATGACAAAACTAGTCAAGAGTTGGAGCTACCGCCGTCTAGTTAAATCAATTCCCTTAGTCGTCACTAGTGAAAGCAGAGGAGATAAAGGCTCTTTGGATCCTCCATAGATATCAGTGTTGTAGGACAGCACTGACATTGGCTCCTGGAAGATGTAGAACCAGGAGCTAAAAAATGCCTATTGGGTGGACACAGTATCAGCATTGTGATATAAGTAAACCTACGTTCCCCTGTACCCCCTGACTACCACCTACCAAAAAGCCATGTCACCACTAGTAGTCTTTGCAAAATACGCAAAGATTTTAGGTAACAGAGCCACTTTAAGCTGAAGCAGGTGTAGCCATCGATAAGTTCTTTTAAAAAAAAATATTAAACCATGACACTAAAGGTCTCACTCAGAATCTTTTTTTATTTTTATTTTTTTTAAACTATATAGAACTAGTGAACAATAGAGATGTCGCGAACCGCTTGCGAACTTCCCGCAAACTGTTCGCGGTGAGCTCCGGTCAGCTGACACATCCCGGCCAATCTCCAGCAGACCCTCCCACCTCCTGGACAGCATCCATGTTGAAGCGACATCTCTAGTGAACAATAATCATTTTATTTTTAGGGCACTCCCTGACAGTATTCAAACACTCTCTCGCTAGTGATGGGCCAGTATCTAAATAGGGGCTGCAATAATGACAACAGCTACTGCATAACAGTGTTTAAAGGAACACTCTAGGCACCCAGACCACTTCAGCTTAATGAAGTGGTCTGGGTGCCAGGTCCAGCTAGGGTTAATCCATTTTTTCATAAACATAGCAGTTTCAGAGAAACTGCTATGTTTATGAATGGGTTAAGCCTTCCCCTATTTCCTCTAGTGGCTGTCTCATTGATTTTCACAGTGAGAGCACGCCAGCGTCCATAGGAAAGCATTATGAATGCTTTCCTATGTGACCAGCTGAATGGGCGTGCAGCTCTTGCCGCGCGTGCACATTCAGCCCAGGAGGAAGAATGGAGGAGGATCAGAGGAGGAGAGCTCTCCGCCCAGCGCTGGAAAAAGGTAAGTTTTAGCCCCTTTCCCCCTTCCAGAGCCGGGCGGGAGGGGGACCCTGAGGGTGGGGGCACCCTCGGGGCACTATAGTGCCAGGAAAACGAGTATGTTTTCCTGGCACTATAGTGGTCCTTTAACCCCTTAAGGACACAGGATATGTGTAACATGTCATGATTCCATTTTATTCCAGAAGTTTGGTCCTTAAGGGGTTAAAGGGACTCTATAGTCACCAGTGCAACTACATGTATTCCTGACCCTATAGTGTTAACACAACCATCTAGTCCCCCTGGACGCCTCATGCCTCCATAAATAAATATAGTAAAAATCTTACTGTATTCAAGCCAGAAGCTGTAAATCTGTATGCTGTTAGACTTAGGAAAAACAAGCAGTCTGCTGACATGTGGTAGCCTGATCCAATCACAGTGCTTCCCCATAGGATTGGCGGAGACTGACAAGGAGGCAGATCAGGGTCAGAGCCAGCATGATTCAAACACAGCCCTGGCCAATCAGCATCTCCTCATAGAGATGAATTGAACCAATGAATCTCTATGAGGAAAGTTCAGTGTCTGCATGCAAAGGGAGGAGATACTGAATCACAGGATGCTCCTGCACAGCAGATCTGAGTGGATGGAGGCATATTATGAAGTCCCTCTGGTTCACTCTGAGTGACTGCAACTGGAGGTGTTCCCAGCTTTCAATGTAAACACTATTTTCTCATAAAATACAGTGTTTACATGAGAAAGGCTGCAGGGAGCTATAGTTCTCACTTGAACAACCTCTTTAAGCTGAAGTTGTTCAGGTGACTATAGTGTCCCTTTAAGTCCCACTAACCTCCAAACTTGAACATGTCATTTTTTTATGAAATAAAAAAAAATAAAAAACAGCAATAAAGGTGTCAATTCTACCCATATTTTACATTTCAAACATATGTTCTGCAGATAAATTACATCAAAGCTGGACACCTAAGAGGTTTTCTTTGACACGGCAAGTGAGCTTACGTTAAGATATTGCGCAGGTAACGTTCTTGGATTTTGTTCAATGTAGGTGTGCTGATGAGTACTATCCCATTGTACAGCGCTATGGAATTTGCTGGCGCTATATAAATAAAAATAATAATATAGCGATCGAGGCCACCCTAGAGTTGTTGAGGAGTGTGAGCACAGGGCTTATTTCTCTGTGGTTTTATATTAGTCATGCTACAATGGTTAGTTTCCAGGGGTTCATAAGAACATCCCTATCTGTCTCCGATAGTTTGCCCTTTAGCTGAAAGCAGCAAGGTGAATTGTAAATGTAGGACTTGCCCAACAGGCTTGCCTTGATTCGGCCTGTGAGCTAACACTTTAATGGCATTGCATTAGTAGGAAAACCCACTAAGTTGTTTTTTTTGTTATTTTTAAATGTGCGAAGGGATTTGAGATAACACACAGTTAACCTTTTTCCCAAGCAATGCACAATATTATATTATCTCCAATTTAAAGTGCAAAATAACAAGTATAAATACAGTGTTACGTTTAGAACACAAATTATGGTTTATTAATTCTTCCATTATTCATTCCCATATGTAAAACACCTATTTAAACAAAAATAGTAATTAAGAAACGCTCAACATCATTACTCAGGTTTTACAAAAGCATTGCAGTTCTATTAAAAGATTAGGTTTTCATTGCTGCCATTTGTTTTGCCTTAAGACCTGGTGACGTCTGCTTGTTCCTTTGTTGAAGGCTGGGCCGATGACTCCGGTCACATGACCTTGCATGTAGACTGATTACTCCTTGTACCAGGCTGCCTCCTACCGATAGAACAAGCTACCTGATCAGTCTCTTCCATAGATTGCTGCTGCAGTTCCCTTTAACCTGCTTTCTTGGCCTCCTATTAATTTGGACACATGTAAACGTGCAGGTTGCAGTAAAAAGAAAAAGGTTGCCAACGCAATAGGACACTAAAGTGTGATCTCTTTTTTAATGCACACACAGATAAAGCAATGAGAAGTAAACAAAAATAAAGACACCAAACATTTCTTCAAACTTACAGCTGCTGCTAAGCGGAGAGGGGTAGTCCCCAGGTACAGACCGCTCCCGAGCTGAATACGAACACACTCCACCAATCAAGGGCCTCTCAATCAACCCAAACACAGAGTTGGAGAGGGTAGGGATATGCACAGCATGTGGCTGCATGGTGTTAGCTTTGATAGAAAACAAGAAAGTACAATCTATTTATTGTTTGCAAAGAGCTGCAATTATAAACTATTGTGCAAGAAGACAGACCATAGTCTACCCGTGGTAAGCAACCTTCTGCACTCCAGATGTTGTGGACTACATCTCCCAGAATTCTCTTACAGCAAAGCAAGCAAAGCATCAGGGTAGATGTAGTCCACAACATCTGGAGTGCTGCAGTTTGCCTACCCCTGGATGAGCCACCACTGGATAAGTGTCACCAGCATACGGCGAGTCCTGATATCAGACATTCAATACACATAGAATATACATTAGGCACCCAGCACTCTTGGGGTGGCTTCCAATGTTATTAAACCCAGTATGTGCAGCGTTTCATAGCAAAACGTGAAGAGTGAGTGCTTCTGGATGACTTGTTATATGGCGGTGATACTGCAATGCATTCATATATGGGATTTTTGTTTCCAACCAATAATTAGCTCCATAAATAAATAAATTTTAAAAAAAACATTTACATATGCAATCGAAACCGAATTCCTGTTCCAGATTTAGCATGATAAAATGAATGAATTTGCACCTGCAAAGGAAATAGAACTTCGCACAATGTTGCAGACAGACACTCTCTTTGCACCAGACAGTGTATGAAGCTGGGCAGTCCTACAGAGACAAGGTTTGACAAAGCAAAGGAGTCAGAACTGGATGTTTTGGAAGACCTGATGCAGCTGGTTTGCTCCACTTTTTAGTTGTGTATTTACGTTGTGAAGCCTAGCCCTGCACAGTCTAAGACTACCTTCACACAAAGTTTACAAAAAGAATTGAATAAGCAACAAATAGCTGGGAAAAATAAATACATTAATTGAGGAAAAAGAAAATTTATTTTTAAATGGTACATAAATTGAAACGGTTTATAAAAATGTATAAGGAAGAAAAATATACAATACAAAAGTGATCCAATACACAAAAGCTGCCATGAAATACCACATGATGTGATCAGGGACTGGAATATGAAGAGGAACGGTTAATTACCGGGATTTTTTAATATTATGTTTACCTATCTCCCACACTCATGGCTCCCTGTCAACCACTGTTATATCTTTGCCACTGGCAGTCAGCAAGAGAAACAGCATCGCAGTGATTCTATTTCTCCTCAACGTTTGTAATTTGTGACTTGGCTGTGTCTGGGTCACTCCAACCACCGGGACCACTTCTGATTTTAGGTCATAGTAGTAGGAATCTATATGTGCAGCAGTGGAGGCTGGTGAAGATTTAAGAAGGTAGAGTGCCAGACTCCACCCTGAGAATTTTCCTCATCCCTATATAGTACAGAGAGCCGAGCATAACAAAGATCCTCATATGACACAGAGATCCGAGCAGAACAGAGATACTAATACAATAAAACAAGTTGGGAACAATATAAAGATATCTATAAAATACATAGAGCAGAGTACAATACAAAGATAACCATACTACAAAAAAGCAGAAAAAAAAAAAAAGTATAGATCAAATTCACAGAACTGGGCACAACACCTATATATCACACAATACCCAGAGCTGTGTGGACTACAGAGATGCCAATACAACAGGCAGAACAGAGTAAAATACAGAGCTGGGCACAATAAGGAGATAACATGACTATCCCACATAGCTTGAAATCAGAAGCAGCTCAGTCCTCAGAGTCACAGGCCCAATCCTGTACAACGTTTCAACTAGCCACAAGAGGAGTGTCTCAAGTCTCAGCTGTAGAGTGTCTGAGCAATTTAAAAACTATCAGTGACAGGTTGCATATTACTCTGTGTCAGAAATGAACCACTCCCCTAGTCATCGCCGGCTTTATAGATATTCAATGCATATTTGTGTAAATTCACAAACTTAATCAGCCCTCAGGCAAACACAAGGCTACTGAGAAAGAAAAAGATAATATTATACACTTACCGTATATACTCGAGTATAAGCAGAGTTTTTCGGCACATTTTTTGTGCTGAAAAACCCCAACTCTGCTTATACTCGAGTCACTGTCTGTATTATGGCAATTTACATTGCCATAATACAGACTGGTGGCTGGCAGAGCTGTTACTTACCTCTCCTGCAGCTCCTGTCAGCTCCCTCCGCCTCCGCGCCGGTCCGTGCAGCTCTTCTGTCAGCTCCCAGTGTAAGTCTCGCGAGAGTCGCACTATGACCCCGCGGCTCTCGCGAGACTTACAGTGTGAGCTGAACTGGGAGCTGACAGAAGTGCTGCATGGACCGGCGCGGAGGAGGAGAGAGCTGACAGGAGCTGCAGGAGAGGTAAGTAACAGCTCTGCCAGCCCCCCTCCTCCCCCCACTGAACTGCCAATGCCACTGGACCACCAGGGAAGGAGAGCCCCCCTCCCTGCCATGTATCAAGCAGGGAGGGGGGACAAAAAATAAATAAATTAATAATAAAATATTAAAAATAAAATAAAAAATAAAATATTAATAAAACAAAAAAATTATTAAAATAATAAAAAAATAATAATAAAAATGCCCACCCCCCACCAAGGCTCTGCAACACACACACAAACACACACTGCACTCATATACACACAGACTGTAAATAAATATTCAATATAATTTTTTTAGGATCTAATTTTATTTAGAAATTTACCAGTAGCTGCATTTCCCACCCTAGTCTTATACTCGAGTCAATAAGTTTTCCCAGTTTTTTGGGGTAAAATTAGGGGCCTCGGCTTATATTCGGGTCGGCTTATACTCGAGTATATACGGTACATTTGGCAGTGTTACTTCCAAGATGGATTCTTGCTTCTCTACTGTGGGCTTTGTATCCCCCCTCCTGCCATCAACCAGTGTTGGCTCCTGAATAGAGAGACCCAGAGCATGCCTCCACTGATGGGCAGATGGCTCTGCTGCCCAAATGGCAACTCAATGGAATTTCTAGAAATTCCTTATAAAACGGAGACTAGGCATGTGTAAAGCCTGCTTAAACAGGGCAGATTTCAAACTGGCCTTATTTTGCTCTGTAAGTAAGTTTCTACAAACAGCTACCAATGAGTAGGGAGAGGCCCTGCAAAACCTAAACCTATTAAAGAGACACTACTTTCCCCCACCCCCCCACACAATTTTTGGCTTTGAACCTCTCTCTCCAGTAAAAAAATATATTTTTGTTTCCAAACTACTGCAAATAGGTCCAGCACATCTGGAAAGATTGAAGACTATATTAGCTTTAGTGTACTAATAATCTTAATTTTAGTAATGACAGGAGGCGAGTATTTTGCTGCTGGAGATTTTCAGTAAAGAGAGTTATGCAAATATGAAGCCTCTTGTCATGTGGTAAAATAATGTCTATACAAAAACTATGTATGTTGTCATTGTGCACTGAGTGCTATTGACAGATGTAATGAGTTTCTCCCTTGGAGACAGTATGACTGCAAAGGGGAAGCTTGTTTGACATGTAGTAGAAATAGCTTATAATGCAGTATAGCCACAGCAACCTATGCATTAAATACTAGCATGCACTTTATCAGGTCCACACTTAAAATGCCGCTCTAGTCTACACATCACGGAACGCACCAACGCCGGAGAGATGCTCACAAGTGCTAACACAAGCTCCAACTTAAAAACATCCAGTGTTAGTGCTCGGTGGACACTATGTTCAAAAAAACGTTTTGACTACTTAGAATGGAGGGAGATGAGATTTAGTGTATGTTTAAGAGACATCCTTCAATGGGCATGTGCATTCTAGTGAACACTTGACACTAGGACCTTTGGATAAGTACAGTTCGACTCTCACAATCGACAAACTATCTGCCACAATGCATATTTTTCAGAAGAAAGTATCAATATGTGTATCAGAAGGAGAAGTCAGTCTGACAGTTTGATTCTGGTTATCTATAAATATTGGGATACAAAGGAAATTTCTGCATAGTGTACATCAAGAGAATGATAGTTTTATAAATCAGGTATAATCCCTACGCCTAACAGTATTAATCCTTTAATAACGAAGGATATGTTTTAAAAGGAAAAAAACTGGGAAGACCAGAACAGATTTTGAACACTCCACCTTTTTTGATGCAACGCACTTCAAAAATAAAAATCTCTAAATGTCATTTTAGAAAGGCAATAACTTTTATTCTGGATAGTAAATAAGTGTTGGAAAATATCATGATATTTATATGAATAATTATATCGGATATTCACGATATATACCGAATATATATCAAGTGTTTGATATATATCACAATTCGTTTTCAAAAACAAGAAAGACACTATGCTTCGTGCATAAATGACTTGCAATCGTGCAGTCTATTATTGTCTATTATTAAAATAATTATAATGGGGGGGAGGGGAAAGAGAGCTTAATTTATCATTTAAAATAATAAGGTCTAATTCAGTTAATGTAAAGGGGACCTGTCCCCATAAATCTAGTAATTAGTTTGTACATTAGATGCACAATTTAAGTTGACCGTTACTAAACCTTTGAATAACATAATAACATAATCCAATTTACTGATCTAAATCCCATTTTCCTAAAGTTTAACAACATTAAAGTTCAATGCACATAGTGGGGAACAGAAATACTTTTTTGAGCAAGTATTTGAATTATTACAGCTTGCAACTTAAATGTCATTGGCACTCCATCTCCTAGTATCAGTCAGTAGAACAAGAGGAGGAATCAGAAAGCCCGTTGTAAGAAGGGTGCTCTTCTTGAAACTGAATTTGATCATCACCACCCTTATCGCTTTTATTTCAGCTTTGCAGCTCATCCTCCCTCTACGATTCACCCCAAATCCACTCTAGGCTTGTCTTTTTCTTGCACGAGTTTTGGTTCATGTATTTGAACATAAAGGTCAGTTGCTTGCTTTGACATTTCACAGTCGATTTCGTAGTTTTGATTGAACAAGACTAGTGGTTGCTGCAATAGCAGATAACAATTGTTCACACAGGTGTAGCTAGTTCGCCTTTCTTGTTTTCCAATCACCGTCGCCCCACTGCTGAGAGTCTTGAAAGTTGGCTGATTTCCACCAAGTCAGTGGAGGGATTGTACGGAATTGCTTTCCAAATAGATAAGCTGGAAAGGGTAGACTGAAAGTTGTTAGAGCCATAACAATAGGAAAAAAAAATTGGGATTCAGTGGCGTTAAGTACTTAAATGCCAACTGTTTTTGTCTTTCAGTTAGATTGATTCCACAGAATCTGTGATCACACATGTTTGCTATGTAGTGAACTGGCCCTAATGCCATGTTTCTACAATTCCCAAACGGATTCTTTAATAAATATTAACTAATAAGCAATTAAAAATACTTACATTTTAACAAGTTAAATTAAAAAAGGTAAATTAATTAATATGTAAAAGACTAAAAGTACAGCAAGGCCCTAATTATTTAAATTAAAATCTGGTGAGTTGGTTGATATACATCATCCAACCCTGTAATAAATGTTCATATTTCAGCGTGATGGTACTGGCAGACACTGTTACCCACAAAGGAATTAATTGGGGTACTACTGCATGCAAACCATTTCAGGCCAATGTAGCTCACTAGGAAACAGGTGATTAGAATATTTTTTCTCAAATGTATCTACTACAGTCTAAAATACTGAAATAGAATGTAAAAAGTGACTTTCACAATATTTTAAAGTGCTCCAGTGAAGAAAGTGCAATATTTAAGACAATTAAATGAATGACTTCCCTTCAGGTGTAGAGACCCCCAAAGACCTCCTCAAAATGATCTCAAATATCAATGTATAAGAATAGGGCTAATCCTGCCAGGGAAGAAATGGCACAACATAGTGCAAAACTGTACAGCAAGGTAATTGTTAATTATATACACGCCAAACGCCACTCACAATTAAAAAATGGATAAAGAGCCTTCAATGAGATGTGGATCTTTTCCAGGTCTGGAGCTTTATTAAGCTTTAAATCCACAGAACCTTTAAGAAAACGTTAAAGAAAAAAGGTGATGTTTTGGCCACAAACTGCCTTTCTCAAACCCTTTTGAGAATGACAATTGCATTTATTAGGTAACCCGTTTGTGCATGCTGTGGGGGTTGCATTTAGGTGATTTGGGGAATACGCTTCTGGTTATTAAATTATTTTAATTTCACTTAGAATTGTTAAAATCTCACATTTTAGTGAAAACCTTCTTTCACCATAAAAACTGCAGTCTCCTGCAGAGTGTATGTACTCTGAGTGTCCCTTTAAAGCTATTTTAAGTTCCAGTTAGCCACAGAGTGGAAACTAGGCCATGGCTATCAACCAATATCAACAGTCAAAGCTATCTGAACAAACGTGTATAAGGCAGAGGGTATAAGGCAGAGTGTCTGACGAGATCAGTATTTACAAAACAGAATGTCATGTGATCAGGGCTTTGTTTTTGTTGTAATCACATTGAAAGGCTATGGAACTAGAGGATAAACCAAAAAAAAAAAAAAAGGCATTCATACTAACAGTCTTCAGATATTGCTCAATGGTTACAGGAAAAATGAACACAAGAATGACCAATGGACTTACAGTCCAGAGGACACAGAAAAGTCCCTTTTAAATTTGAGTAGATAAAAACACAATTTACTAGATTATAATATAGAAGGACATAAATAACAGCAGATACAGATGGGTGATGGGCGGGCGGGTTCTAGGTAGAGATGTCGCGAACCGTCCGCGAACTTCTCGCGGCGAACTCCGGTCAGCTGACACATCCCGGCCAATCTCCAGCAGACCCTCCCTCCCAGACCCTCCTACTTCCTGGACAGCATCCATGTTGAAGGCAGCTTAAACATGGATGCTGTCCAGGAGGTGGGAGGGTCTGCTGGAGATTGGCCGGGATGTGTCAGCTGACCGGAGTTCGCCGCGAACGGTTCGCGGCGAACCGTTCGCGGACGGTTCACAACATCTCTAGTTCTAGGTAATGGAAGCTGGTTTGAGAAAATGAGTTAAAAGGCAGGAAAATACACACAGTGGTACAGCCAAAATGATGGACAATAATCACAGGATTAATAACTATGCCCCAGACGAAGGCACTTTAGCAGCGCCGAAAAGCGCTTTGGACTTTCTTCCTATTTTCTTTTAACTCACTGCACATTTGTTTTTGCACTTGTGGTAGTTTTGTGAGGGACTTTGCAGAGATTTATGTGAGGGGGGGCGCATGCGCACAAGGGAGCAATGACGCTTCCAAATGGAAACGTCTGATTGCTCCCTGCTCGCGCCCGCCTATTTCATCATTTTGACGAAATAGGGGGCGCGGCTTCACGAGGCTCCTGGCGCTGGAACCAGGGGAGTAAAAACTTCTGCCTGGAGAGTCCCTTTAATGAAGCCATTTTGACACATGCCCTACTCACTGCTCAATTCTTCTCAGCCTATCATTCCCCGATACCGCTGAATGGTAAACATGGGATAACTCCATGTTTTACATATTGTCATTGAAGGATGGGCTGCAGGTTCAGGCAATGAGATGAGCTGCTGACAGGACTTCGCCCACAGTCAATAACTGTCCTTTTATTATTATTTGTATAGCATTTCAAAGAAAACTTAACAGTGCTATAGGGAAAGAGGTAGATAATGAGAAAACAGTGTGTTAGAGCCATGTCCGCAGCTCAGCTCATCCTGATCTCTCATTGGCTTTGCTGCATACGTAAACTGAAAATGAGGAAAACGTTATGTGAAAAGAGGGGGCATGACAAAAGGGGCATCATTACAGTGCTAAACTTTTTTTCTTGAAAAAATAGAGCACTGTAGGCACTATAACCATTTCAAGGTACTGCTAAGACAGATTACACACTTCCTTATAGCCATACTGATTCAGACCTGCAATGGGCCCTCTGAGAGCCTGAAAGCAGCCAGTTGAAACCCTCAGCAAATCACAGCAGAGTATTACTGCTCAGGCAAATACTTCCTCATTAGCCCAAGAAATAGAGAGGACTGCTGGGGACTCTCGTGGCAGGTTAAACAACGAACACTGTTTAACAGTGAATGTAAGGACAATGTCAAGGACTCCAGACACTATAACTACTGCAATGAAATGCCCCTTTAAGTTGTGTTAGTGCAAGGATTATCCCTTTAAGTAAGTGATCAATCCATTCTCTCAGATACATATGGGACTAGCACAGAGCTTGTGTACTAATTATGTATGTGCGCAGACTTAATTTCAAAAGGTGCCCAAGTGATTCATTGTCCCTAAAATACCCCAGTGAAGGGATACGCTTGTGAAGCCGCATAATGAATTCCTAAGACATCCAACATGTTTTGGCATGTATAAAGCTTTCACTGCAGAAAGTCAATAAAATGCAGGAGACTTTTGAAGAAAAAAAAAAACCTGTCAGCTGTTATCTGGCTGTTGTTGGAACAGTGTATACCTGACTGAACAAACACCAAACAGGGACCATATATATTAAAACCCCTTTAGTTACTCAAATTCTTCCACTGCCGGGCTACCTTACCTCTCCTCCCCTGCCAACGTCAGCGGAGCGGAATGTGCATTCGCGGCAGTACCGCAAGCGCATTCAAAGTGTCCATAGGAAAGCATTTTTCAATGTTTTCCTATGGACGCTTTGCATGATGGAGGCGAAATGTGCCTCCAGCGTCGCAGATGCGCCTCTAGTGGCTGTCCGGAAGACAGCCACTAGAGGCTGGCTTAACCCTAAATGTAAACATAGCAGTTTCTCTGACACTGCTATGTTTACAGCAGGCAGGGTTAACCCTAGAGGCACCTGGCACCCAGACCACTTCATTGAGCTGAAGTGGTCTGGGTGACTATAGCGTCCCTTTAATGAATTATGCCAATACAGCATTTAAATATACATAAAACAGTATTAAAAAAAAAAAAAAAACTATTTTAAATACTATTTGGCAAGCAATTTAATTTTTCCAAGATCTCTTTTTGCAGTCACTCAACCAACAAGGAAGTTTCTGAGCAGTTTTAGTCAGAGGTCGTGGTGTGAGTCACTTTAACTGTTGTTATGGAAATACTGTGTACAAATGCCAGTGCTCAAACCACTGCACATGGTTTTTTTATGGAAAAGATAGAAAACAAAAAAATGTATTTAAGCCTAACTTAGCTATTTGTGATCCTTCACCTTCTCATGTCATGGACCTGGAAAATAGAGATAATATACTAGCCAATGAAATTGTTACGTTTTGTACATTGAATGAAATGTCTATAAGACCCCTGACTTTTTGCCTAAAGGGAAATTATAAGCGCAGTTCAATGAAGTGGTCTGAGTGCAGTGTCCCAGGCCCCTTAACCCTACAATTGTAATTTTTGCAGTTTTTGATAAACTGCAATAATTCTCTTGGAGAGCTAACTCAACCTCTAGTGGCTTCCAGACAGCCACTCAACGGGCTTCAGGATGGTTAGACGACACTTGATCGCCTGATGCTGGACATCCGCTGGACCTAATGCGAGCGTGGCTGTCAACGCGCATGCACATTAGGTGTCTGCCTCCCCCCTCCCGCCGGCTGATGTCGGTGTTGGAGGAGCGGAGACAGAGGGTGAATCAGCACCGACTGGCGCAGGAATCATGTATGCTATCTGCCTGTCAAAAACTGACCGCGGCCAGTCTTTCTCAGACCCAGGCGTATAGGGTCAACAGGTCACTCGTACAAAAATCTTACTAACGACAGTGCCTCTTTATGCGTCAGAATGGTTTTTCATTTAAAGGGGGAGGGTCATCTGTTTATCCCTTTAAGAAGAAAAAGCACTCCTGGTGAAAAAGTAAAATAAGTATTTCTTGGATAACAAATATCCATTTGTCATTGCTTACAACGGCACTGCTGATGTTAATTAGCTTCAATTTACATGACGCTCAGCATTTTAGGGCCTATAAGTCATGATTTCACTTATCAATAACCGCGGGAAATACCGTTTCATACACTGGAGGGACAAAGATTATTCTGTAATAAAAGTAGAGCTGCTTAAACTACCCCTCAGTTCAGAAATTCCATCAGGCAATCTTCCTTAAGGGACACCGTATGCACTATAACCATTTCATCTCATTGAGTCTCCTGGTACGGTCCCTCCATTCACTGTTAAACCTTATATAAAGCAGTTTAACACTGAATGATGCTCCCTGGCTTTCCATAGCCCCACCCCGCAGATAAGGCAGAGGTTACACACATCATTTGAGCCATACCAATTCATACCAGCAATGGGTGCGATGATAGGCTAAATGCGGTCACCTAACACTCTATTGCCACCTATTGCTACTCAAGCTGCTGGGAAGTCTTAGCTAGGCAGGAGCTCTGGACAATTGCTGCCTCTTGAGTTTAGAGCAAATAATTCAACCAAACCCGGAAGTAACAGGACCTGGTGTCTGCTTGAAAAGCCAGGGGGTGTAAACGGTATAATTTATTTTTTTTAAAAATGGCAATTTCTATTGAAATCTGCAAATAGAAAAAAAAAAAAAAAAAAGACACTCCTTACACCTAAAGCTTTTTATCAGGGGTCTGGAGTGTCCCTTTAAATAGTGAATGGAAGAATGGCACCAGGGAATTCCAGGTATTATATCCTCTTCAATGATATAACGCAGTTCCGATAACAGCAATGTCCTTCCAGTTTCAGCCAGGTTAATAAGGCTTTTTTTTCTTCAAGTATGAAAAGTGCGGCTTTGATATAACATTTTGGGGACTGCACAAACAGTATCAAACACAAAAGCAAAGATAAGCAATCTGCGTTTTTCAAGTACCGCAAGCACTCAATATTTTTAAACAAGGAAATATTTTCTTAGTCTAAAAGAATCTGTATTTGGAAAGCTTGTCAATACAACTTTAAAGGGACACTAAGCAACATGCAGAATGGAGGAAAAACAATGGGGAACAGTGTCTCCAAGAACCCAAAGTCCTGCCCCTTTTCCAATTTTGGCGCCGCAAAATTATGAAGATCATAAAAATGAATTAAACAGAAAAAGGGCTTTAGATGTAGTAGTTATGGTGCTTGGGATGTTCCTTTAAAGACAACCTATCAGATAAGGGGACATTAGGCACCATAACCACTTCACCTCATTGAAGTGATTATAGTGCCTGGAGTCCCCAGACTTTGTCCTTTGTTTTATTATTAGATCATTTCCTAACAGCTAAGATGAAGTCCCATTCTGTGTAAACCGAGCACTCTCAGCCTATCACTGCTTGCCATTGCTGGCATGATTTGGTATGGTGTAAGGCAGAGCGTAACACAGTCTTATCCACTTCATCAGAGGAGGCCAGCGTGAGGGCACCAAGTGAACCTGATTCATTATTATAACATGCGTAAATGGTTTAACAATGGAACCGGGTATGGCACCAAAGGACTCCACGCAAAAACTGTTTCAATGAGTTGAAGTGGTTATGGTGTTTAACGTTTCACTTTAAACTCAAGCAAAGTAACCATAATTGAAAAGGGCAGCCTGGCTCCCTGATGGCCTGGCTCTACTAGGCAGAAACTTAAATTCAGCACTTTTGAACACAGAACAAAAACGATCTGTACCGTTTTAACAGACGAGTTGAAGGTAATTCATCTAGAGTCATCGATTATGGCTTTTATGACTTTCAATGGGGGATGTCATTGCACTCCTGGTACGGTTTTATTCTTTTAAAGCGTTTTTTTTTTTTACTGGGGTCTTTGCATATTTTGCATAGACCAGCAATGGTGACATTGAAGCTTGGGATGTGATGGCCCTGGGGATACAACAGAGGAGAGTTATACTTGACGTTTCATATGCCAGGAGCCCAACAAAACGCTGTGCTCTTGCAAATGCACAAGAGGACGACACGGATATGCGAGACCTCCTCTGCAATGAGCAAGATAATCCCTTATCCCTAGATCCATCGCTAGCGACGGCTGAGGAAGTAACAAAACATGTTGGCGGTAGCTCTGCGGTTTGTTCAGTTTTGCCAGCTTGAGGATTTATCATAAATCAAGGTAGTCTCTACTGTGTCTTAGGATTTATTTGACTGTGTTGGAATAGTAAACACTTGTACACACTACTGAAGACACAAGACTGGAGTTAACCACCTATGATAAATGGATTATGAGACCGTAATGTGTTATAGAAGTTGCACATCACATTGCTTACATGGATAGTATACACAAGTGACACTCATAAAACCAAGATAAAAGAAAGTTATCTGTAATTTTCTACTTCAGTATTGCTATCATATCTTACAGTAAATGGAAGGTGTCTCTCCAGCAATGTAATTTATACAACACACTAAAGGAATGATTAGCAGAATGATAGCTCTATAGGATTTCAAGTTAATATCACACTGCCAGACGTTGCTTATTGGCCATATATAAACATTTTATGTCTACGTCATCTATTAATATCTACATTACAAGAAATAGCAATCCGAGGATCTATCCCATAATTTGTGATCATTTGCAAAAAGAAAATGCTTAATGGCTGTCAGTAGACATCTTGACATCATTCCTGGAAATGCAAACAATACTTTAAAACAAAGGTAGCCAAAAAGGTAGATGCCCCAGATGTAGAACTACAACTCCCATGATACACTGCATGCCTTAGGAATGGCAAAGCATCATGGAAGCTGTAGTTTTAAAACCTTTTGGGAACCTCAGCTTTAAAATATACAAGGAGGGGATTTTAATGCATCATTAACTAAAACGTCTAATTTCACACCCCAACCTGCAGGCTTAACCATAGTCTGTAAAAAGTTCAAAAAGCTTCCATCCTGTATTCCATATATATATTACCATTGTAACAAATCACTGCTGGCTCTTTCAGATGTTGCACAATACAGGTTTCTTGCGACTATTTCAGCGCAGAAATGTTACCAATTTACTTGTAGATTTTAGCGTGCCTAAAATTAGATCTTTGCACAAGCATTTCCTCTGCATTCTGCTTCGGGTGCCAATGCACACAGCTGCCTCGCACATCTCCTCAAACTATCACCAGAACACTTATTGGAAGAGAAACTGTTTTTGGCAACAGTATTTACAAATAAAATGATTGGGACAAAGAACAATCATCTTTACACAAAAAGGCCATTAAATCTCCCAACTAGAAAAGGGAAAACAGACGCACACCATAATCCTATGTTTCATTGGTAAACACAATCCCTTTTCAATAGCAATACAGATGCACCTGTCAGAAAAAAAAAAAAAAAAAACACACAATATAGACAGTAGACAAGAGTGAAGTTTACACAACACACGATATATTAAAATTAAGTGACCTTCTCCCTAAACAGTATATTGATATGAGCTAGGAACAGTTCAATTTAAATAGAATGTTGTTAGATTCAGGCAGTGATTTTGAGCTATTCAGTCCTCATTTTGAAGCAGACTGTTGGGTAACCACAACACATTGTTAATGTTTAATCCCTCACATTTCCTGTTAATATTGTTTTATTTTCCTAATTGCCACTGGCTTCATGTATTGTAGCTATACAGGAACAACAAACAGACATTCTGACACACATTCTGTAATAGAGTCACTAACTGCATCAATGTATCTAAACCAAATCTTAATTCATAATGAACCGACAAATCAATATACTAGCTGGGATTTTAGTTCAGTCAGCTTAAAATCGGTTGTACAAAGTCGAATGATTTTAAGATACCCACACTCTCCACAGCATATCAATTAATAAGGGCAGAATGGAGGATTTTTGAAAGAAGGGTTAAAAAAAAATAAAAAATAAAAATAAAAAATCAAACAAAATATCTGTTGTCATCCTGACTTTTATGCATTTTTATTTTGTATTTATAGATGCTTAACTGGTGTGGAAAAAAATAAAAGTTATTTATTGAAATGCGTATAAACTATATTTATTGTCATAGGGCTCTTTTTATTTTGTCAATATCCTTTTGATGTGCAACATGTTTGGCAAGTAGCAGTTGCTGGGAAAGATTAATATAGTGCACTCAATTATAAGCCCCTTGATGTGTTAGATATAATTCTAGCCTATCTGCATAGCAAGCTGGAAACTGTAAATTCCTATCTATAACATTACAGGAATTGAGTGAGCAAGCAGGAACAGACTAAATACTGCATAAACATTAGTAAGGACCCGGCAAAACATGTTTGAACAAAAATAAACTGAACACCAGAACTATAAGTAGTATAATTGGTGCTTCTAGACAGAGCACCTCACTGGTATCTTTTTCTGATAGAGAAGAAGAGAATTACCTGAGTATGTCCTAGCATCATCACCTGGCACAGAAAACTAGTATGGTATACCAAAAAGACATCTATGCACTAATCCCTAGTAATTCAATATTTATTAAATGGACACTATAATCACCAGAACAACTACAGCTTATTGCATTTGTTTGGGTGAGTATAATCATTCCCTTCAGGCTTTTTGCAGTAAACACAGTCTTTTTAAAGAACATGCAGTGTTTACATTACAGCCTAATGCTAACTCTACTGGTCACCCCTAGATGGCTGCTTGAGGTGCTTCCTGGGACAGTGCTGCACAGTGTGACTGACATTCAGTGTCTCCACCCTCTGCATGGAGACAACGTCTGATGCTATTCGTCTCTATAAGGAGATGCTAATTGGCCAGGGCTGTGTTTGGCTTGAGCTGGCTCTGCTTCACACTCTCAGCCAATCCTAAAAGCATTGTGATTGGCTGTGATCAACACAACTGATGATGTCAGCCAAGAAGGCAGATCCAGCAGCAGACTGGAATAAATGTAAGATTTTACTAGATTTAGGGGGGACTGGATGGTGTTTTAACATTAGAAGGTCAGGAATACAAGTTTGTGTTCCTGATCCAATAATGTTCCTTTAATTTATCTACCACAAGATTCTACATACTATAAAGCAATGTACTCCCCAAGTTATGCCTGAATAAGAAAATTATTTTTCAATCCCAAAATGTTTTTTTGGCATACTATTTTAATGTCCTGTATTCGACAGGCTTCATAATCCTGACTTAAATGGCCTTTACATATTTATCTGACAAAATACCCACGTAAACATTAGTTTTTCTCTTTCACAGCCTATACAGATATAGACGTGGACTGTATTTCCTTTATAAAACTCATTATCCAAATAGTGAGCCACAGGAGTGAGCAATTCACAATTCATTTATATATTTTGATACGGTACAATGTCATGGCAAGAAATGGTTAATAGTTCAGTGCTTAATGCATCAGTCAGGACTTTCCCATCCAAACAGGTTAATGGCATGTTCTTGGTACCCAGAAATCACATCTAATGTGCATATGCAATAGAAAACAAATGTATGCTTGAAAGAGGTAATGAGAACTTCTTAAGCATTTTAATAAATTATTATAATATTATTACCCTGATCTTCTAGTTGTTACTTAGGTCCCCTCAAGAGAGACCAGACTGAAAATGAACTGAGTGAGCACATTACTTGCCACAAGGTGTGTACAGAGAGACATATGCCGCCTATTAAGAGATTGACACACAGGCCGGAATATCCCCTCAACACATCAAACAATGAAGACTCCAGTGGCCTCCACTGCCTGGTACGAGGTTTACAACAGACAAGTCTGGCTCTACCACACCGCTCCGACACAATATTAATTGATAATTATTGAGGTGACCTACCACATCCCCCCGCCCCCCTCCCCATCATTAACTGGCACAGGGGTCCTACATACAAACTAAACTGAAAGTTACTGATTACTGAGACAGGGTGCCCTACAGTAAAACAATGCATTCTCCCAGGACAGGGCCCTGAAGCCAGAAACCCCTGATCACACATAAATATACATCTGAAGTTTATTTCTGTCAATATGAGGTGTTTGCCCAAGAATGGCATGTGAACCATAAACATCCTCTCATCTGGGTACTTCTCATTCTACAGCTTTGGCACACCTCTCCTGTCTGGTACAATTCTCACCCTCCTGCTCTAGGATATCCTTCACCATCCTGCCCTGGCATACATCTCCTGCTCTGGTGCTATTGTCACCTTCTTGCCTGGCAAACACTTCCCCCTCCTGTCATTGTACACCCCTCAAACTCTTGCCCTGGCAGAGCCCTCATGCCCTGGAACCCCTCTCCTGCCCTGGCACAGCCCCCCTCCTGCCTCCCCCCCTGCCCCTGCAATCCCTCCTGCCTCCCCCTGCCTGGCACCCCTCCTGCCCTGGCACAGCCCCTCCCTGCCTGGCACGCCCTCCTGCCTGGCACAGCCCCTCCTGCCCTGGCACAGCCCTCCTCCTGCCCTGCCTGGCACGGCCTCCTGCCCTGCCTGCCCCTGCCCCAGCAGCCCTGCCTGGCACAGCCCCTCCTGCCCTGGCATGGCACAGCCCTCTCCCTATTCCCAGGCTCTCTCCCCAGGTCACTCACCCATGCTGCCGGCAGTGTGCGGTCTCCGGGGTGCGGGCAGCTCGCTCTCTCCCAGGAAGCAGCCTCAGTCCATGCACCCCCCCTCCGCCTGTCTCTCTCTCCGAGCCGGGAGCCGTGTCCCTCCGCCTGTCTCTCCCTCCGAGCCGGGAGCCGTGTCCCTCCGCCTGTCTCTCCCTCCGAGCCGGGAGCCGTGTCCCTCCGCCTGTCTCTCCCTCCGAGCCGGGAGCCGTGTCCCTCCGCCGCCAAGCTGCCTCCACGACGCCTAGAACGCCAGCTTGCAGCCCGGACAGATCACGTGTGCAGAGCCGACCAATCAGAACCCGGCGCCCGCTTGCCTAGCGCTATCCTTCATTCCAAACTGGGAGACTCCGTCCGGTCACTGCTGCCAGGATGAGTGACGTCACCGAAATGGGCGTGTCCTAAACAAGCCTCCTTCCTGAGCCTCGAGCTGGCATGGAGGAGTAATAATAATAATATAAATAATAATAATATTAATAATAATAATAATAATAATAAAATAATAATAATAATATAAAAAATAATAAAAAAATAATATAAATAATAATAATATAAATAAAAATAATAATATAAATAATTAATATAATAATAAAATAATAATAATAATATAAATAATAAAATAATTAAATAATAATAGTAATAATAATAATAATATAAATATGAAGTAATATAGTAATTCATTAAACACAGAGTGTGATGGACTATTAATTGCAGTGAGTGATGGAGTATTATACACTGCTCAAAAAAATAAAGGGAACACAAAAATAACACATCCTAGCTCTGAATGAATTAAATATTCTTCTGAAATACTTTCTCCTTTACATAGTTGAATGTGCTGACAACAAAATCACACAAAAATTAAAAAATGGAAATCAAATTTTTCAACCCATGGACGTCTGGATTTGGAGTCACACTCAAAATTAAAGTGGAAAAACACACTAGAGCATGGGTAGGCAACATTTTAGCAGCACTGTGCCAAAATAGGATTGTGAAGTCCCGGAGTGTGCCGGTCCTATTTTTTTCAATTGAGGTGTGTATGTTGCCTTATACTGCAGTTGCTTTGTATCGTTGTATTTGTGCATATATGAGCAGGGCCAGATTAAGAGCCCAGTGGGCCTGGTGCTGACAATTACGAAGGGGCCTAATTACAGAATTTATCGACTAAAAGTCTTACCTCTTAAGCGTCATGTATCTAATGGAGATGGAAACTCAAAGGATGCAGCTATAAGAAAACACATACTCTATGCTTATCTCTCTCTAATTTATGCTTTCATCTTTCAAGTAAATCCATACCCCCTAACAGCAGTGTCCAGTGAAGCAGTAAGTCAATGGGCAGGGTAAAAGGGTGGGCCACTGAGGCGAATCACGTGACCAGAACTGCCAAAAGGGGCCAGCCTGGCAACAGTGTCCCTATGTATCTCAGTGTCACCATGTTGACCAGTACCTTAGTCTCCCAGTGTCTGTGTACCCATTTCTCCCAGTGTCCCTAAGTCTCAGTGTGTCCCATGTCACTAGGATATTAGGGGACACTGAGAGACATGGGGACAATGAGAGACATGGGGACACTGTGAGACATGGGGACACTGAGAGACATGGAGACACAGACACTTGGGGACACTGGGAGACATGGGGGCACTGAGACACATGGGGACACTGGGAGCACTTGTGGATACAGACATGGGGACACTGAGACATTTGGGGACACTGGGAGAAATGGGGTCACAGACACTAGGGACACAGAGACATGGGGACACAGACACTAGGGTACATGGGGACACAGACATTTGGGGAAACTAAGACACTAGAGACACTGAGAGACTAGGGGACACTGGGAGACACTAGGGACACTGGCTGGGAGGCATGGGGACACAGACACTTGGGGACATGGGGGCACTTGTGGACATAGACATGTGTCCCCAAGTGTCTCAGTGTCCCCACATCTCCCAGTGTCCCCTAGTGTCTCAGTGTCCCCATGTCTCCCTTTCCCCCCATCCGTCACTTCCCTGAGCTGTAGTCTGTCTCTGCAGGCTGGGAGCTGCTGTCTGGACTCTCTGTGCTGTGTAGCTGCTCCCCCGCGGATCAGTGAGTAGAGAGGCAGGGAGATGATGTAACTTTCTATCCCTGCCTCTCTCCACACACAGTGACCCCTACTGGCCGGTGCTGGTATTGCAGAGTAATCTCCTTTTATACAGAGAAAAATATTTGCATTTGTATTGCCGGTATTACAGCAATACTGGCACGGCCAGACAGCCTCAAATATCGTCTGTGCTTTAAAATACCAGTCAGGTGGCATACCTAAGAGTAGTGTGTGTAACAAAAAAACACCCCCTTTTTTAAATGGGCCTATTCCATGGGCCTGGAGCTGCAGCTCCATCAGCCCCTATGTTAATCCGGCCCTGTATATGAGCTATTATATTGTATATGTTCATGAGTAGTTTGTTGTATCGTGTATGATACCTATGTATGGGGGCTGCTTGTGGAATTGGGTGTGTGTGTGTGGATGGATGTCACATTGTGTGTTTGGTAGTGTGAGTCTGTTTGGGGTATTGCATGTGAGAGGCTGCTTGTGGGGCGGTGTATGTGGATTGTCAGTGGTGTTACGTTTGTGCGGATTGTGCATGTGTCTGTGTGTGGGCTGTTCATATTATTTGTATGAGGGGAGGGTTATTCTGCAGCTCTGTGTATATCTAGCAGTGTGGGTGGCTTCCCTGGGTTCCAGTGGGGACCAGGCTGGCCAGGTACAGGTCAAGGACAGGAGCTGCAACAGCAGCTGTGCGCTGCTCTGCTAAAGTGTAGATTCCTATTCACAAGTGCTGGGAGGAAGTGATCACTTACTCTACGTGCTGCAATGCATAAATTGAGGATTGCCCTTCACAACCTTTTTGTATTAGCAGATATCTGAAGTTTCCCTGGGACTCCTGATAGGCCAGAGCCTGTTTGGCTCTAGTAGCCTTGAGTGCCGTGCAAAGATACCTTGAGTGCCGTGCATGGCACTAGTGCCGTAGGTTGCCTATCCCTGCACTAGAGCATTGGTCGTCAACCTGGTCCCTACCGCCCACTAGTGGGCATTTCAGGATTCTAGGTGGGCGGTAAAGTAGGAGAAAAAGGAAAATTTGCTTCATACTCACCGTAATTTTCTTTTTCTGATAATTATTCATGGCAGCATTTACTCATGGGTTAGCCCCTCCCCTTACAGCAGAAAGGACAGGAAATAGAACTCTGAAACCGGTATAAATAGATCCTCCCCCTTCCCATCAGGCAGTCTTAGTAACTAGCTTCACATCTTATAGTATATGGGTGGGAACGTAATGCTGCCATGAATAATGATCAGAAAAAGAAAATAACGGTGAGTATGAAGCAAATTTTCCTTTTTTCCTGACATTATTCATGGCAGCATTTACTCATGGGGAATACCCAAGCAGTATATATCGAGGGAGGGACAGAGTTCAAAAACAGCCAATAGCTATAAAACCATTACCTATACTAGTTTTAATCTAATTACTAATGCACTTACCTGAACAGCTGCAGGCCTGTGTTTCAACGGCAAAATGGGGATTTGAACAACTGACAGCCTAAACTGTTTAAACTATAGGCTTCCATCTGTACCCCATATGCAGTCCATCATCACCAGTGGGAGGAGGTTTAACCAACCCCATACAAGGTGGAACACAACGAATAGGTATACCCAGGTAGTCACCTTATGGAAGTGCTGTTTACTGGGTCTTCAAGGATAAAGGCTTAGACTCGGCTGGGCCTCATGTATGCAGTGGACCGCTGTCATCCCCTCAGGGAGAGAGATAGGTCAGACTCCTGATTGCTGAAGGAGGTACCCAGGCTGGCAACTGTTACAGATGTGCTGTTTGCTGGGTCTTCAGGGATAAGAGGCTGAACCCTGGACTGGTATTATGTAGGCAATATATCACATTCATCCCCTGCTGGCCTGTTGCTGGGTCTTCAGGGATATATCACATTCATCCCCTGCAGGCCCAAGCTGGCCTGTTGCTGGGTCTTCAGGGATAAGAGGCTGAACCCTGGCCTGGCTTCATGTAGGCAGTATATCTATGATTACTATTCTCAGGTGAGTAACCGTGGCAACATACTGAAGGAGCTGATCGATAATTACAGCTGAAACCTCAGACACTGAAAAAGGAAGGGTGGCTGTTTAAAACAGCAAAGAAACCCTGACACCACATGAGGTCTAGCATTGTCTTGCATTAGGAGGAACCCAGGGCCAACCGCACCAGCATATGGTCTCACAAGGGGTCTGAAGATCTCATCTCGGTACCTAATGGCAGTCAAGCTACCTCTGGGGAGCACATGGAGGGCTGTGCGGCCCCAAAGAAATGCCACCCCACACCATTACTGACCCACTGCCAAACCGGTCATGCTGGAGGATGTTGCAGGCAGCAGAACGTTCTCCATGGCGTCTCCAGACTCTGTCACGTCTGTCACATGTGCTCAGTGGGAACCTGCTTTCATCTGTGAAGAGCACAGGGCGCCAGTGGCGAATTTGCCAATCTTGGTGTTCTCTGGCAAATGCCAAACATCCTGCACGGTGTTGGGCTGTAAGCACAACCCCCACCTGTGGACGTCGGGCCCTCATACCACCCTCATGGAGTCTGTTTCTGACCGTTTGAGCAGACACATGCACATTTGTGGCCTGCTGGAGGTCATTTTGCAGGGCTCTGGCAGTGCTCCTCCTGCTCCTCCTTGCACAAAGACAGAGGTAGTGGTCCTGCTGCTGGGTTGTTGCCCTCCTATGGCCTCCTCCACGTCTCCTAATGTACTGGCCTGTCTCCTGGTAGCGCCTCCATGCTCTGGACACTACGCTGACAGACAGAGCAAACCTTCTTGACACAGCTCGCATTGATGTGCCATCCTGGATGACCTGCACTACCTGAGCCACTTGTGTGGGTTGTAGACTCCGTCTCATGCTACCACTAGAGTGAAAGCATTCAAAGGTGACTAAAACATCAGCCAGGAGGCATAGGAACTGAGAAGTGGTCTGTGGTCACCACCTGCAGAATCACTCCTTTATTGGGGGGTGTCTGGCTAATTGCCTAAAATTTCCACCTGTTGTCTATCCCATTTGCACAACAGCATGTGAAATTGATTGTCACTCAGTGTTGCTTTCTAAGTGAACAGTTTGATTTCACAGAAGTGTGATTGACTTGGAGTTACATTGTGTTGTTTAAGTGTTCCCTTTATTTTTTTGAGCAGTCTATTAATTCATTAAACACAGAGTGTGATGGAGTATTAAACACAGTGTGTGATGGAGTAATATAGTGTAACAGGACTACAATTTCTGCACAGACTCCTTTAACAATACATAATCTGGATATACAAAAGAACCGACTTGCCTATTGTATGTGAATTACGATT